CATTTAAAATTATTAAATATTTTAAAATTTTTAATTACTTTTTATTGAGAAAAATTATTTTCATTCTTTCTAAAATTTTATAATTTTAAATTTATCCTCTAAAATTTTAAAAATTCAATTTCGTTTACCTAACATAAAATTTTACGGTCTATCGCTTCTTGTAATAAAGTTAGATGCAGATAGAGGCCATGCATAGTGGTGCGTATCTTAGCATATGTATGCATGCTTATTTTCCGAATAAGTTGTGAATTTTATCATTCAATTTTCTTTTCACTTTTATTTTACTCATTAAAGTTTAAAAAGTTTTATTTTATTAATGCACCTTAGATTTACTTTTATTTTAATCACTAGAATATCATATCATAAATAAAAGTGTGACATTACAGTCACATGTCATGATGTAGATTACTTTCTATTAATATGGAATTCAAGTCATTCAAGTTAATTTTTATTTTTTATTTTATCTTATTTTTTTGAAGATAAAGTTTTACAATTTTATTCATGTGTCACGTCAACGCTGTAATTATCATTTTCGACATTTTCTTCGATCGCTTTAAGATATCAATAAACTCTCCAAATTTTCTCATACATTCTATGAGTTTAAATTTTACCTAAATCACTTTAAAAACTGATACAACTCAACCAGAAATTCAAAACTTTTGAAACTTCAAACAACTCCAATCTATAGTATACACTAGAGATTGACATGAGACTCGAACCTAACGGGTTCTGACCCAACTCGACCCGATCCAAACCCAATTTTTTTTAAAAAAAACCTACCTGATCCGATTTTGAGTCTGGTCGGATTTGGGTTTAAGGTGAAAAATATCCGACTGACTTGAAAATTTTGTAATTTTACCTTATATATTTAGGGTTAATTGTAATAATATCCCTCTATAAATTATTTTCTTTCAATTAAATCCCTATTTTTATTGAATAAAAATAATATTTTTTAATAAATATATTATTTCAAGTTAGGTTAAGATTTTATCTCAAAAATCGGGTCAAGTTCGAGTTGGGTGGAAGATATATATTTTTTGGGTCGGGTCGGGTGGACCGAAAATCCGACCCAACCCATGCCCATCCCTAATATAAACCATCCAATCAACGTGGAACCACCGGAATATCAAAGAGAAATCAGGAAATTTTCATATATATATATATAAAGGAAAATATTGGCTATTTTTTTCACCAACTTAAGTCACAAACATGATTTTGGTGGGTGAATCTCCCTGTGGAGATTTTCTACATACACAAGGACTAGAACCTGAGACCTTGCTTAAGTGATATTAAGTTTTTTACCACTTGAACCAACCTGTTGGTAATATTGGCACCATTTCATAATTTTAAAAATAAATGTATATTACATATCTCATGCATGCATGCTTGCACGTAGCAGTGTCATATTACATGTCTTGGGAACATATTTTTCGTATATAAATGTATGACAACGTATGCATGTATACATTATTTTTTATTAGATTATGGTGGCTGAACTTCAGAACCTTCAAACTTGACGACTGAATTGATCACTTGCTAGAAAACCTAGCTATTAAGAGGGGGCTCTGTTTAACAGAAAACTCTGCAAGCTTTTCAGTGTCAGGCAATAGATCTTTCACAACTGGATGGGGGAAGAAGCTGTTATGAGCCCATCCGGGCAAACCCGGCGTCTTCTCGTCGGAGAGTAGCTGCACCCCGTTAAACTTTCCGATGACTTGGATCCAGAGAAAGAATGGACCGAATGCGATGTCCAGGTAGCCGATGTCATCCCCACTGAAGAAAGCTTTCCCTTTGCTCAACTCTCTCAAGCATCCCTCTCGTCACCACCGCCTCTTCCAGTGCCGATATTGATGCCTTTTTGGCATCCTCCGTCTCGGCAATCACCGCTGATATCAAGGCAGGGACCAACTACATTCACATAAAACAACAACAGTTGAGACTCCACACTCCACACGTTATATCAAGGCGAAATATTAAAAAAAATTGTATATCAACGTTTAATTAAATAATTAATTTAGCCTTTATTCTTGTTTTTCTGGAGTAATTTAGTCTCAAAGTTTCATTCTAAGGTAAAAGTATCCTTAACATCTGTTTAAATAATCACTTTAATCTCAATGTAATAATTTAAAATAAAAAACTTGTAATGTTTGATTAAATAATTATTTTAATTCCTTTCAAACTGGATGCACTAAACCGTAGGGACAGAAATGGAGGTATCTCTAAGATTAGGGGCCACTGCCCCTAATTTTTTATGATTAAAAAGTATATAGAGATAGATATGTATTTAGACCTTCAACTTTGGGTATATTTTGATTTTGCTCCTCTCATTTTTGTTTTATTTTGATTTTGCTCTTCTCATTTCCTATTGTTAGTTATACCTTAATCCGTCGTTTCTTAGGGAGTAACTGCATATCCATTATTTAGAAAAGTTGTTAAATTTAGTTTAATGTGTTAAAGGGTGAGAGAAAAAATAAAGAAATTTGCGTATCATTTTAAAAAAACATTAAAATTTTAGACCATATTCTTAAATTTATGAATTCATCACGACTCTTACTTTTTTTTGGATTATTTTATTTCAACGTTTTATTTTAGGGCAAAAAGACACATATTTTGAAATGTTGATCATTTGTTGACTATCTATTTCCTTCCACACATGAACATTTTTTTACCAAAAAATGAAACGTGGAGGGCCAAAATACAAAAAAAAAAAGGAGAGGTCAAAGTGATTATCTAATCAAACGTTTGGAGCATTTTTTGAGATTATTTGTTATACAAATAAACCTGATCCCTTTTTAACAAAATGTGACCGAGATTAAACGAAAGAACCTTATCGTCGATGTAGGCAATCCAAATTCGAGCATTGGCACGTTGTCGAGGACGGGAAGGGAGAATGGAAGGGGCGTCGAGCCAAACCTCATCGATGTATTGGACGATGGCTTGGGACTCGATGATGGGTTTGCCGTCTTGGACGAGGACCGGGACTCTCTGGTGAAGAGGGTTGATTTTGAGAAGAAGCTCACTCTTGGGTTCCAATAAGTTCTCCTCGTTGTACTCGTAGTCTATAGATTTGAGGTGAAGGGCGATCCTTGCCCTCAACATGAAAGGGCTTGGCCATGAAACTATAAGCTTCACGTTGCTCTCACCCATTGTTGTTTTGTTCCTTTTTCGATGTTGAGTTGAAAACGTAGGAAGAGATGACCAAAACAACCATGCTGAAATTTGAAATTTCCATGGCCTTGGCCCTTTGAAATGAGAAATTTATCTTTGGATCCTCTAAAAAATTAAATAATTTTAAGTTAGTATAATGATATCCATACACGCACACCATATAACTACATGGCAGAGACAAATGTATGATTTTTTTTTAACAATTTCAATTTAGGGGAGGGAAAGAAATTTTTTACTCCTAATAAGTATTGAACTCACAAGTCAGATGAAAATGAAGTGTCAACCAAGAGCTTTTAATCACCTAAAAATAAAAAAAAAAATGTATTCGTATCGATTATTCTTAAGTGTAGCAACAAGCTACAGCTTGAATTTATAAAATGAAAAGATTTAAGAAAACGTTTGAAAATATATGGAAATATTTAAAATTTAATTACTATTTATTATTTATTTACCATGTTTCTACTGTCAACATTTTTTCATTGTCTATAAATAAAAATAAAATTTTATTTTATTTTATTTCTAATTTAATAAATTTAAACCCGTGTCAATTCCTCAATTAAATTTAAAGTCTAAGACTTTATTTTATTTAAATTTAAAAAAAATTACCATTCCAAATTTGTGTGACAACTTTTCCTTGATATAATATCTTGATGTAGAATATTATCTATTCATGATTTATAAGGTACACAAGCTATAAGCCTAACACGTGATGTTGTAAAACTCTAGTTGTTCCTTTATCATCTTTTCGTGTAAACCTTGTTCTAATTTTATTACATGTTATCATCATGGATGACAACACCAAGCTTGATTAATTATCGACAGTTAGTTTTTCCATTTTATTTCCTCCTTATAATTTGAATCATAATCAATGAAAATTATAGGTTGTTTATAAGCTATTATAGCATTTTTTTATTTGTTCTTGAGGTACGTATTTTTTCATGATTAGATTTAACATACACCTTCCTATTCAAGTTATGTTTATTTAATTATACGGTTGATAAATGCATATTTTATTTACGATTATTGAAAATAAACCACGATCGAATTAAGTTAATGTCACTTTGTAATGAGTTATCACTATTATGCATTTTTATGTTAGCGTGATGGTGTTGTCCTTGACCGTCAACAATGATGTTTGTTTGTATACAGTGGCGGATCCAGAATTTTTTTTCAGGGTGAACACATATATAATAATCGTATAAAATCCTATATGAGGTGAGCACAACTAAAATTTCAGGGTGGCCACAACTATTAAAATATGTAATTATTCTTAGAAAATTCAGATTTCAAGGTGAACACATACCCACCCTGTATCGTTAATGGGTCCGTCACTAATTATATCTATTATTTATTCAAATTGTTTGATTTGATTTTTAACTTCTACTTGTATTGTCTATTCTTAAATGCATAGTTTGCATGTTTTAATAATTTTAAGGGAATACTCTATTTATGTGCCTATATACTCTTGTTTTTTACTTTTCTTGTAACATATATTTCATATGTATCAATGAAAATATAAAAAATTAGAAAATTATTAAAACTCAAAATGCAGCGTGTGAATGCCAGCGTTAAATACTCAATGATCGAGCTATCAAAACGAGTGAAATTAAAAATTTAGTGACGAAATTAAAAGCATTTAAAATACTAAAACATAAATACAGGAAAAGTTGAAGGGCAAAGAAATTAGTTTACCCGAAGTTAAAACTGGTTCATTCTTTCTTTTATCTTTAAAGCAACCAATAGAGATATGAAACGTGTCCTAATCAGTCAATCTCAAAGCCGAGACATAAATATCTTTGCTTTAGAGACTTTATCTTCCACCACGACTTTGCTTTTACTAAAATATTGAGATCGCTTCACGTCTAAGCAAATTCTCATTATTCGACCACAGTACAGTACTTCCACCATGAAACATCACTTCGCCCACGGCGTCTCCGACGAAGTCAAAATGGCCTTTAATCTCGAAGTGGTGGTTGCCACGGTGGTCCTAGCTTTGCTTTTGCACATCTTCTGGCGTTGTTGTTTCTCGTTTTACCTTAATCACGTCAAGAAATACATTTCTTCTTGTTCCTCTTCATCAGCCGCGGCCTCTGGCTTAGAGCCGTCGAAGATCGCCGCCGTGGAGGAGATCCTCAACTACACGTTCAAAGACAAGAGACTCCTCGAGGAAGCTCTGACGCACTCTTCATGCCGCGAAGGCATTTCGTATGATCGGCTCGAGTTCCTCGGCGACGCGGCGCTTGGATTGACGGTTGCGATCCATTTCTTCCGCTTGGAGCCGAGGCTGAACTCCGATCAGCTCACTCGGCTCCGAAAAAAGAGCGTGTGCAACGCGAGACTGGCGTACCTGGCGGCTAGGCTTGGGCTTTACCGGTACGTTAGGAGAAAAGACACCGCTATCCTTAACCGCAACGTACGGGGAAACTCTGTTTCTCTCACATGAATTTTCAATTAATTCCTATATTTTACTAAAAAAATGAAAAAATAATTCATTTGTTAATAAATATAAATTATAAATCATTGATTTTTTTTATCAATTCTTGTTGCTTTTAAAGGTCAAGATGTATGAAGATGCGGTGAAACAGGGAAATGATCATAGAAATTTCACGGTTCGGAGTCCGGACATTTTGGCCGACGTCTTCGAAGCTCTCGCCGGTGCTGTCTACGTGGATCTCGATTTCGATTCCACGAAATTGTGGACGGTACGTCCGTTTATTTATTTTTATTTTACAATCTCAGAATTCAATTTTTTTTTTTATAATTTGATACTTGAACAGATCTTTAAAGATTTATTAATGGTGGATCAAATTAAGATCCCAAAGGACCTCGAATCTCGTAAGATTATTAATGGAGCACAAGACAAGTTGTATGGACTGTGTGGCAGGAAGAAATGGGGAAAACCCATTTATACTTGGTACGCCTCGATTATAGATTTATATGAATTATATTTAATGAACTCCGTAATTAATCGTACCTTTGGTGTTGGTGTTTTCCGGCAGCAGCCTTGTGAAGGAAGGACGTCCTCAACATGAAACGACGATGATTTATTCCGTCGAAATAGAAACCGACGACGGTTTGCTCCGGCAAGAAGGTGATGAAAAATATACTCCGAGAGACGCCCGCAACTCTGCTGCTTACCGTTTGCTTCGTTCCCTGCCAAAATATCCTATTATGTGATTCATATGCTTTCTTACTGGATCCTATCAATTAACATATACATAATGTTATCGGACTCAAGTGAGTGTTGAATATAGATGTGTATTAATTTTATAATATTTAGTTTTTAAAAAATATATTTTTATATTTATATAGTATTATTACAAATAAGATATTCCAGTTATCAATTTTAAAATTTTGGCGGAACTTCTAAAGATAAATATTAAAAGGAATTACTCGTAAGATACGAATGAGTTATCCATGACTAAAAAATTTATAAATAGATATTATCATATGATTATTACACACAATTTAAAAAGAACATAAGAAAAAATATTGAATAGTAGTAATGGAATTTAAAATTTAAATATAATATTAATTGAATAATAAAATGCTTAGAAAGGTAATAATTTTTTTAAATTTATAGATTTATTATTTAATAGTAAATTTAAAATTTTTGATATAAATTCACATATAATAAATATATATTTTATTATTTGTCCAACTATATATATCGAATCTTTAATTATTTATACCTTTTCACTCATAAAAAATAATTGTTTAAGTATTTTAATACATTATATATAATAAAAGGGTGTAGTACATAAATGATTCTAATTATAGAGCGTTGTTTTGTTGAATTCTTTGATCATTAAAAATTACAAAATGATCTTTTGACTATAAGATATTATTTTGTTGAGTTCTTGACTATTAAAATTTAAAAATGATCAACTGACTATTTATATTTTCAAATTCATCATTTTTCGTTAAAACATTATTAATCGTCTAAGTTAAACGTTAACTTGTTGACTGTAACATTTTAAAATTTGATCCCATAATCATTTGAGTTGTATTATATTTAATCGATTCTCTATTTACAATATGTCATTGAGTCAGTGCTTGAAATATTATGACATCGAGTTAATGGTTAAAAGCAATAGCGTTGCTAGTATATATAATTAAAATATGATATTAACATATCAACATCAAAATGTTAACATCAAACTCAATTGTCGTCAAATTTTTAATAAAAAAAGACAAGTTTAAAACATATAAATAGTTAAAGTGATGATTTTGTAACTTTTAATTGTCAAAATATTTAAAAGAACAATTTTACAACTTTTAATAGTCAGTGGTTCATTTATCTATTTTACGTATAATAAATTAAAAAAAAGGTTTATAAATGATAAAAAAAATGTTTTAAAGTAATGATAAATTATTATTTAACAGGTATATATGAAACCCACATAATTAATTTTTTTAATATATTATTTTCATAGTTAAAATGTGTTAAAAATAAATAAATAAATCTTCATGAAATTAATATAATTCGAGTAGAATAGAGGGTTGTACCTTCTCACCTATCATCTTTCGTCCCTTCCATCTCCCCTCTTCATTCTTTCCATCAAATTTACATTTTCTTTTTATTTTTTGTTCTGCTGTTTGTTTAAATATATTGATTTTGGGTATGTAGATTGGTGAGTTTACCCCTTTTTGATCCTAATCTCTAATCTTTTCATCAATCTCTTTGTATTGATATATAATATTTTTTTCTTTTTTTCTTCAATCTTTGAAGTTAAACATCTTTTTTCTGGATAAACCCTTTGAGAGAATCGGGTGGAATTTTTTAGGATTAGATCATTTTCCGATGAGGAAAGGAGGAGGATTCGACGTAGCGATGAAACCGGCGGTGGAACCCAACGTATCTGTAAAAGAACAAAGATACAGAGGTGTTAGGAAAAGACCGTGGGGAAAATTCACGGCGGAATCAGAGATCCATGGAAAAAAACCAGGGTTTGGCTTGGGACCTTCAATTCCGCCGAAGAAGCCGCCCGAGCATACGATCCGGCGGCGATTTCGCTCCGTGGAAACAAAGAGAAAACGAATTTCGCTTTAAATTCCTCCGACCTGCCACCTTTTCGTCCCAGCATCAATGAAGCCTTCATCGAAGGCGATCCGCAAAGACCGCCGAGGAGTAGCATGAGTAGCACGGTGGAGTCGTTCAGTGGGCCGAGACCATTCCTACCACAGCAGAAACCGACGGCGATTACGACTCGGGAGTGTTCACCGCCGGTGACGCCGGACGATTGTTATAGTGACTGTGATTCATCATCGACAGTCGTCGATGATGGGGATGATATCGCAGCGTTGTCTTGCCAGAAAACTTTGCCTTTCGATCTCAATTTTCCACCGTTGGATGAACTCGACGATCTCGCGTTATGTCTCTGATCAACGATTACGATCAACCAGTCGATCTTAAAGTATCTTTTTTGCTATTTATCAAATGCTAGATCTGTCGCTGGAAACATTATGGTGTGATTTAGGGTTTATGATATCATATCTCACCTCCGATGATCTCAGATCATCTTGTATAAACAATTTGTCTAATTCAATCCCTATAGAAAATGGGTCTTTGATTCTATGATTTGTGAATGCGATTGCTTTCACCTTCACTATTGATCTTTGTAGTAAGGGACGGTTTGTTTGTTTATAATTGATTTTTTAAAAAATAAATTATTAGACTTTGAATTACTAAAACTGAAAAATGAATTACTGAAATTTGAATTCTAAAAAATGAATTATATTTCTGAAAAATATTTTTCGTAAATTGAATTACATTTTTCTGAAAAATATTTGGAAAAACGTTTTATGATGTTTGGAAGATTATATTTAAATATTTTTTTCCATTAGTTGAAGAGTTTTTTAAAAATTATTTATTACAAATATTAAATATAATAAATAATATTATTTATCATAAAATTTTATATTATTATTTTAAAATATTAAAATAATTTATTTATTATTAAATATTATTTTTATAATTAATAATTTTTGTATATTTTAGTGAAATAAAATATAATAAATTATATTAATTATTTATTAAAGTAATAGTGTTATATTATATTTTAAAAATATTAATTAATATATTTTAAATATCTTTATTAAAATATTATTTAAATATATAAATAATATTATTCATTATTAAATATATAAATTTTTTATTATATATTATTAAAATAAAAATATAATATCTTATATTATTATAATATAATTGATTATTTTATATAATATTAAAAATATAATATTATATTATTATAAATATTAATAAATCAATCAATAATATTTTGATGAAAACGATATCAAAATATTTTATTAATATTAAATTCATAAAATAAAATTATTTTGAGGATTTATTCTTTGAAGTGAAAAGTTCGGAAATGACTTACGGAAAATGAATCCGTAAGTCATTTTACAGAAAACACAAAGGAAATTATGTTACTAGGAAAATAAATTACATTCCGAAAAACCAATTACGTAAAACAAACACGGGAAAACATTTTTTTGAAAACGAATTACGTAAAACAAACACGAGAATTCGGAGAAAACCAATTTCGTAATTCCAATTACGGCAAACAAACACACCCTAAGTGATGATTTCTTAAGGTGCGTTTGGTTCACGGAATGTAAGATTACCAGTGGGAATAAAAGATTACCAGGGAATAGGATTACTGGGAATGTTGTATTTTGTGTTTGGTTGGTTTAGCAGGAATGTAAGATTACCGTGTTTGGTCAAAGGAATAAAAGATTATTGGAATGTATATTTGACCAAATTGTCCTTATTATATATTTGTATAATATTACAAATTGTAAAATATTTATATATTTTCTTTAAAAAATTAAATTCATAATATTTATTAATTTTTACAAAATTAAAAATATAAAAAATGTTTAATGAAAGGGTAAAAAAAATTTAACCCCTAAACTTTATATAAAATTTTAATTATAGACTTTTTTTGTAAATCTAAAATAATTTAAGGATAAATTTGTAATTTAACATTCGTAGAATTTTTATTATTCAATGACAGGAGAAGGATATTTTTGAAAAAAAATAAAAATTTAAGAGCATTTTAGTCCAAAACGCCGGTAATGTTACAATACCTAAGGGAAGGGAGGTAATGACATTCCCGGTAATATACCCCAAAAAATCTACTATTGGTAATAAAACATTACCGGGAATGAGATTCCCGGCCAACCAAACATGGGAATGTGGGATTCCCATCCCATGGGAATCCTACATTCCTTGAACCAAACACCCCCTTAGTGTTATCAGATCTGGATTTCTTTCATCTTCTAGCTTCAGATCTTTTCTTTATTGACATTAGAAGTTACATCTGATCTGGGTTTCTGTTAACTTATATCATCTTACTCAAAATTAACAAATTTTTATCATGATATCTTTAAATTTTACTTTGTTCATATATAAATTTTGTAACGTGTTTAAATATTATCATCTAAACATACATTTATTGAATGGTTGAAGACAAGATTGATTTATGATTGTTTAAACAATTTGGAAATGCATGAAGAAATGAACTTAAATTGCTAATCAAACTATGGATACACAACTAGCTCTAGGGAAAAGACTACTTATGATACACTAGGCAAATAGCAAGCAATGATCCTCAGATGTGCGACAGGTCCAAGCTGCAAGCTTTTACACTGTGTTCAACATAAACAGTTACGACTCCGGATAATGTATCGGGAAAAATATGTTCTGGATGATATTAAAAAACCAAAAACGAAATTGAGATATCGATACTACATTTACCTGATCCAAGTAGTGATATCATTTGCCATGTCAACTAGTAAAGGCATGAAGATGCATAACTGTGTTAGCTTGATATAGGCTGAAAGCTTCCTTGGAATTCATCATAAAGCCATCTGCAGAATGAAGATTATTAATCGAAATCCGATTCTTCATGTGCTTAATACATGATAAGATTATCAAATGAATACACGTACTTGCATAAGAAAATTGCCCTTAATCCTTCTGTTGCTTCAATTCCTGACTGACTTCGCCTTTCACTTTCTTCTTTGAATTTAGCAGCAGGAAGAACTTCACAAGGGCATTGAATCGAGGTTGCCATTACGGTGCTATCATTATTAGATTCATAAACCTACAAAAGAATAACAGAAGGAATGATTGGCAAACCATTGGATTTTACTTGCTACCATGACAGACGAGTAGACAACATAGAGAACAATAGTAAGAAAACGGTCAACTTAATCATGCATGAAAGATTACCTCACTCGTTTCGGGAACACATGGATGAACAACACCCTCCGGCAAATCATTAGGAAAGTAGCACCTTTTGACAGCCACCCACTTTATCCCGGTTTTAGCATCCTCCCACATTGCCTGCAGTGCAGATCGAAAACTATGAAATCTGTTTGTTTTTATAGGACATAGGGTCTAGCAAGCTCATCATATAAATTCTTTTGAACATGCTTACCTGAAGCTTAGATGGTATCAGTTTATCCCGGCCAAAATGAACAATGGCATGATTATGAACTTTATAAGTTATTCCATTGATGCAACAAGACTGGTAAAACTCTTTCTCATCCACAACTTGAAGTACGTTACCATCCCATTCAACAGCACACAAACCATCAGAAGAAAACCTTGAAATCACAGTATTAGCTCCAGAATTCCCAGTAGGATTTACTGGTGCATTTGCAGCATCTTGTTCACTTTGATTAATCTGTTTAATGCAGTTAATATCTCCTTTCGAACCTTTCTCCAAATAATTAATTCTGGAGCTTCCATCATGGCAATTATTTGAAGGGATTTCAGCACAGTTTTGCTGCTCTGTTAGGATATCTTGATTGTTATGTGAAGGCTGTGAATGATCTGCCTTGTCGCTGATAGTGTTAGATGATGTATCCGCAGGCTGTGACAATGTTGTATGATCTTTTTTTTCTTCATGATTAGATGATTCAGTCATTTGAGAATGTTCTTCAGGTTTCTCATTTATTGTGCCAACAAAAGGTGAATCGCATACAGCCTCCAAAGGTATTGTCGATTTCCCTTTTGGAACCTTGGAACCAGATGCTGACTCATCAGAGTTGCCGTCAACTGTAGTGGACAGGACAGGAGTCTGCAATGCTGAGCTTCCATTTGCAGTTACCTTCTCATGATTGAGCGTGGGACCCAGATTTTCCACTTTCTTCTCTGAAGATGACTGAGCTTCGGCTGAACTAGAGGGCACTTTGGGTACATTGATGCTTCTCATGACACGACCATATTTGGGGGGCAAAGGCTTCCCATTGCAAAATGACAAGCATCTAGCACAGTGCCACTCGCCCCTAGGGATACCCTTCGACTGCAAACACTTCAAGTGAAATCCTTTCTCACATGCATCACAAAGCAGCACATTTTCCACTTCATTAATGGTAAGTTTGCACGTTTGACAAGTCACAGCCTTATTCATATACTCTCTAGAAGGAGGAGTCCAGGTAGGATGTGCAGGAAGCTTCGGTTGCAACAACTTTTGAACAATTCGAGCAATTTCACTGTGATTATTAGTAAATGGAGGAGCTTGTGTAAAGTTCACACCTTGCGCAGGCTGGTGCACACTTGGAAAAGTTCCGGTCGCAGTTTGAGTATTGAATGGTCTAAAGGTTTGATGATGAGCTAAAACCTTGTTCTCTTGCCCAGGTTTACCTACTGCTGCAGGTTGAGCTTGCATAGACCAAGTGGGAGCATTGGCGAGTGAATGACTTGCTGAAGAGTTAGCTGAAACACACAATATCAACATTCATTCGAGATGATGCACAGATAAAGAAGCTTAAATGTTCAACAGAACCAAATAAGAGGGAGAATAATGGCAAAATTTCGGGAAAAGAAACCACGATATTAGAATTTGCTAGACTATAGAATCGATCATATCATAATCATCATAGAATACAATTCCAAGCCAAGAAAACATGCCCCACCCATGGAAAAAGTAAGTAGACCGTATCATCTAATCTCTCCCAAAAAGTTTCAAATTATATGTAAACAGGCCCGTCAACTTTTTTGCTACCAAGGGTCGGAGACCTGGTCGAAGAGAGAATTACCTGGTACATGGGAAACAAAAGAAGCCACGTTTGATCCTCCATCCAACTTAATCTGTGGTCTGTCGACCCTGGGATAAGCAAACGAAGACGAATTTCCTAGATGGCCACTTGGTAGCCCAGTGGACATTGTTGCCCATTTTACACCGCCAGTGGGCAATTGATGCTCCAACGGAGTTGAACCCACTGCTGTAACATGAGACGAAACTGGGGTGCCTCCAGAAGACACAGTTGCATGAATTGGTCGATCTGATGGTAAAATGCGAACTGCATTCGATGAGCCATGGTTTTCAGCGGATCCACCAACATTGCTTTGCACTGGCCGAGATGTATATGTAGCAAGAGTAGTGAATTTCTTTGGTTCTTCCATCTGAAAATCATTGAGGTAATCGAACACTCAGATTCCAATAACATGAACTTTTCACAAAAAATCAGTATCACATTCAAAATATCATAAGAATTCTACAACATTCATAAATGTCCTATTTGAACCAAATTAAACATCTCACAGCTTCAGACATAATCCTTAATTCCCCAAAAGTAACATGAAAATCAGTGAAGAATATCAAACCATACAATAGATTGAGGCCTTTAATTTTCCTGATTTCCCAAATGTACCAATTAGAAAAAAAAAATAAATGCAATGGATTCATTAAAATAATAAAAAGTTTTTACCCTCATTTTAGAAAATAAAACCTTCTGAGAAATCGACATCCCCATACCCCTGAACCCTAATCTCTGTTCTTTGAGGTGGGAATTAAGCCCCAGCTCTTCAATCACATCCCCTATCGCCTCCCTCCCAACAATATCCTTAGGCGTCATCTCCCCGCACATCTCCGCCAACGTCTCACGTGCCTCCGCCATCAACGCCGTCTCAGCCGACGTGGGATTCCTCCCTCCGCCCCTCATCTTCCCCATTGTGGACAGCACCAGCACAATCTCCGCCACCCTCTTTTTCTCGACCCCCCGCTTCTCCCCCACCGCTGGATAAGGTTCAAACGCCGCTACGTTTTCCCCGGCACCCACCTCGGGGTCCATTATAAACAATATTAATCAAAACCCAATGTTGTAACTTCACGAGAGTGACGGAAACCAGAACGAGAGAGAAAGGGAAAGGGAAACACAGATCGAATGGGAATTGGGGAAATTACAGAATTACAAAAAATTTCAGGAAACTTTTTGGCGGGTAAATTGTGGGAAAGAGAGAATTTTTCAAATTAAATTTTTACTTTGAGAAAGGAAGGGATCAGAATTATGGCTGAAAGAAGCGAGGGATTATGAGAGCGTCGAATGACAATAAAGATTAAAAATATGGTTTATTTTGGGCAGTTTTATGGTTTAAATTGAACCGACCGGTTTACTCAAATCGGACCGGATTTGAGGAATTTGGGGATTTTCGATTTTGAGGTGAATGAATCTAGGGCTTGGGTCTTTGTGAATGTTATACGGTGCGGTGACAGGGATGCGAGCGATGAGGACTAGCCACGTGAGTAAAAGATGTAAAGTAGCATTTAATGCATTGCCTTTTTAACCTTTGCATTTTGGTCCCTAAATGTAGGATTTTAATCCTCAAAATGACACATCATCTCACAAAAATAAAATGTATTTTTAAATTTTTAGCTTAAAGGTTACTTTTGTTCCTGTAGTAAATCTAATTTATTATTTTCGTTTCTATCATATTTTCGCATCAATTTACCCCTCAAATTTGTTTGATTGTATTATTTATATCTTTCTCCTAATCTAAAACCTTAATTTACGTTTAGTTTAGGTTTTGATGTTATATGGTTTATAATTTAGGGTTTTAAGTTAGGGTATGATATAAAATGACGCGATTGAGCAACTTCGAGTGTTAAACTGATACGAAAATACAATAGAGACGAAAGTGATAAATTAAGTCTACTATAAGGACAAATGTTTTGCCTAAATTTTTCATGTGATGATATGGTGTAATTAGGAATGGTCTCAATCTTATATAATAATAGATTACTTTTAAATTTCGAATTTAAGATATATTTTATGAAATATAGAATGAGAGGCGAGGCAAATTTAAGTTTAAGATATAAAATCTAAGGTACACTATGCGTTTAGTACTTAAATTATCAGTTTTGGTTCGTTTTATACCTAATACTTTTAATGTTTTTAAGATCATACCTGAATTTTAGTTTTTGTTTTATTTTAGTACTTTTGTTCAAAATTTAAGTTAAATTTTGATTTTTTTGGAAGTTTAGGTACTAAATGATTCAAAATTGATAGTTTAGTACTAAACGCGTTAAGTTTTGAACAATGTGGTACTAAAATAAAATAAAATAAAACATCATGCATGGTTTTAAAAAAGCTAAAAGTTTAAGTATTAAAATGAATTTAAAATTTAGGGTTAATAATTTATGGTACGGGATTTAGGGTTTCCTAATGCATTATCTATTGAAGGAAACCACATTAGTTACTGTCATTGACTATCGTCGAAACTAAAATTCTCTAACAATTCCTTTAGGCCTTGTAATTTTGAACTTGATGTCATCTTAATTGAAAAAAATGTCTCGATATCATGGTAAAGTACACAAATGATCTATTGATTTAGGCCTTTGTCGAGTCAATTGATTATAAAAAGTTACAAAATAGTTTATCGACAATACGATGTTATTTTGTTGAGTCTATCGACTATAAAAAATTACAAAATAGTCACTTGACTATTCATATATTCCAAATTCGTCATTTTTCGTTAAAAAATTAATGGCAACCTGAGTAGACATTAACTGTTAGTACAAATGATCTATTGATTTAGGCCTTTGTCGAGTCAATTGATTATAAAAGTTACAAAATAGTTTATCGACAATACGATGTTATTTTGTTGAGTCTATCGACTATAAAAAATTACAAAATAGTCACTTGACTATTCATATATTCCAAATTCGTCATTTTTCGTTAAAAAATTAATGGCAACCTGAGCTAGACATTAACCTGTTAACTAAGATATGATAAAATCTGACATCAAAAACTCAAACGACTATCATATCTCATTCAACATGTTACCGTTTAGCTTAGACGATCATTAATTTTTAACCAAAAAATGACGAGTTTGGAACACATGAATAGTTGAGTGACCATTTTATAACTTTTAATAATCGAGAGACTCAATAAATCAATGACCTATAAGTTGAGTGATCATATTATAACTTTTAATAACAGAAAAACTCAACAAAGCAATTCTCTATAGTCAAAGGACCATTTAGGTATTTACCGTTCATATTAATATAATCTAAATCGAATTCTCGATCCATAAATAATTCTAAAAGTTACTTTAAAACATTTGGGCCATATTATCCCAATATGCGCTCCTATTTACTTCAAGCTTGGGCTCAAGGAGACGGGCCATTGATGAACAGTTGGTTTTCCGAAGATCCGAAACTAAAACCTCCACAGAACGAACCTTCCGAATTCCGATATACAAATCCAAACTCGAGTCCAATTACTGTTATTTTCTTGCATTTTCTCTGAATCCAACAAAAGGATTTAGTTTCTCAGCATATGGATTATATCTTATCTCCGTATTTGTTTTCGGCTTTGCTCAGCCTGGAATCCAAGTTAAATAATAAAAAAAGATTTCCTTTCCTTTTTTTGCAGGAAATTTTGTGTAAAATCGACATCTTGAACATGGGTTTCTTGATAACAACCCTAATTTTTGCTGTAATTGGGATAATCGCATCGCTTTGTACCAGAATCTGCTGTAACAGAGGTCCCTCTGCTAATCTGTGAGTGTCCTTTTAAACAATAACTCTTTTGAGAATTAAAATTTGCTCTTTTTATTAGGCCTTTTTAGATTTAAAATTCATATGTTAGAATTAAGTTTAAAGGGTATCTGTTGATTGGTATACTTCGATGAAATATGCTTTAATTCGGTATTGTAACTTGCAAGAACAAATTGGCAACCAATGCTGAGTTCTTTGCCGTGGTTGTTTACTCTGATCCGGAATGAACCTCATCACATCTCATTGCATTGGGCTGTGCTGTCAACGCATCCTTAGTGTCAGTTAACAGAATTGCATTGACCCTCTGCGGGCACGATCATTGCTCCGATCAGGCACCCGCTTGGTGCGCTGAGATGCGCTATCTTTAAGGAAATATGTGCCGAAAAAACCTCACCTAATTGAAGTTCTCTTTAATTTCTTCTAATATAAATATACTTCTTTATATTTGATATTCAACCACAGAGATGGGATCATAAATATACTTCTTTATATTTGATATTCAACCACAGAGAACTTTTCATATTTCTTCTAATATAAATATACTTCTTTATATTTGATATTCAACCACAGAGATGGGATCATAAATATACTTCTTTATATTTGATATTCAACCACAGAGAACTTTTCATGTTTCGTAGATAAACTAGATCACTCTTTGGAGTTAATTTTCGTATTTATACATCGTAACCCTATTTTATAAGTAAATGCGGACACATACAAAAACACACTTGTATACATTTTGTGCCTGTACTCATTTTGTATGCCTTGGGGGCATTATAAGGATTGTAGGTCCTAGAGGGTACCCTGCCACGACACTGGGTAAAGATTGGTGGTCTAGCAAACTGGTTTGACTGAACTTTTGTTATTCAGTACCATGTTCTGCTATAGAATAGCTTGGTTTGCCATTTAGAGTAGTTTCTAGATGTTTTCTTTTGTTCAATTATTATTTCCTGCCAGATAAGAGTAATTCTCCCTAGATTTTCCTTGTTCTCATCGAAAAACTGCTTTCCTTTGTTTTATTACGCAGGCTCCACCTAACACTGGTCATTACGGCAACAGTCTGTTGTTGGATGATGTAAGTTTATTCTTGTTTTGGATTTTATCTTTCTTCTTTAGTAGCTTGACTTTCATATGAATTCTGTTTGTAAATTATTAAAATATGAAATCTTCGGTGTGCAATAATTATTATATCTGCAGGATTCCTTTGGCCATGTTGTCCTAAAATTTTTGTCTAGATGAAGAATAGAATGCCTGCCTTTTCTGGCTATCCTTTCTGCAATGAGGAACTACTTTTTCTTCCTAGGATTCTGAATTCGCATAGTGGCACATAAATTGAGAATCAATGCCTTTGCAAAGACCTAATTTGAAGCTGTATATAAAGAACTTGACATAAAATGAGAATAATATCTTATGTAGCTTGTTCATTAGGTTCTTTAGCTATGAATTCAGCAAATATGTCACCTTGTTGAAGGCTGCGTTCTTTAAGATCCTTAATATGCTGCACAGTTTCTATGATCATTGCTATAATGATTGCGGAATAAGGTAAATTAATAGCTTCATTAGGCTGCCTTGGTTCTATTCATGTATACTATTCATACAAATGACCTATGTCCTGCATTGAGCACATAGTTTGCTACCATGTTGTTTCAACTCTCTATTTTTCTAAAAGTGACACTGATGACATTCTCATTTGAGTCCAAGTAACCCGACAGTGGTATACACCTTTAACCAGTGATTCCGAGGAAGTTAATCTATATAGCTATTTATACGTATAGATCTAGTTTTGCAAGTGAAGAGGTTTTGTGTCTTTGTCCTGTTAATTTGTAATGTTAGTTCCTTTTGCTTTGACAGGTGGGCAATTGTATATCTTGCACAAATGAAACCACTCATCGTCCCCATTTTGAGTGAAGGAGAGTGAGACCCTTCACACAATCGATTCAGAATTGTGTTAGAATCTAGTTGTCATGTAACATGTTTTCTCATGTTTTTTCTGTAAGTAATCCTTATTCAAAGCTTGAACTTTGAATTGATATTATGAGCACTTCACTATTGGTTCACATTTGTTGATTTCCATATAATAATAGTGTTGTTTCCATCAGACATTATGCAGTTTTTAATGAAATAATTATGGAAAGTACATTCATTTTTATAATCTTTCTTTTCAAGATACCAATCAGTAGATTTAGTTAAATTAACTGCTAGATCTCTTAAACAAGGTTGAGTTTTAACCATGAGGTTGTAACTGGAACAACTGGATTGAAAAGATTATTAGAATAAATCGTATAAAGACGCAGATTGAAAAGATCATTAGAATAAATCGTCTAAAGACGCAAATAAGACGTAAGTTACTCGTACATTTACAAAGTTGTAAATACAAACTCACTCAACAACTACTTCACACTTTGTTACACGGACTCTTCATTTTTCTTGAATACATATGTCCCATATTTGTAGAGGACAGAGTAAGGTATGCACATCTCCAAAATATATGAAAAACTTAAAAAAAAAATGAGCATATCCTTATTGGATGTATACTTACATCTAGCACTCACTCCAAGTCCGTGTAACATAACTTCACACAAAGAAAATTACGAAGAAATGTGGAGGAAGCCGATAAAAGTTTCCAAGCTGAAAACAAATTCTACCCATACAAACAGAACAAAAGAACGAGCTTGTAGGTTCGGTGTTCGTAGGTATTACAAGTACTTGATGAGTAGATATATGACAACAACCAGAATCACGATTCCGATCACAGCTAAAAGCATGCAAATACAAGAACAACCTCCTCCAGTTCGCTTGGTCAAAATCGCAAGGTTTTTCTGCACCCTCTGTTACAAAACAAGATACATCCAACAAAATTTGTACTTATTAGAACCCGCCATGATAGTCAAGTTCCATTTTTTGTAGCAACTAGCAGTGTTGCCAACAGGTTCCCCTTAACATCAGGCACCATTGGCACTAAAGACATTATCAGACAAGTTAGCATTTGATAGGAGGCATGCGGGCCAAAAGCACCTAGACATCCTTTTTGCAAAGACAATTGGTGCAAAAAAAGCTCATGTAATTGAAATTCTCTTTAATGTCATTGTTTTAACTTTGTTTTTCATTAGCTTTTTACCTTTCCTAGTAAGAAAGAGGATAATATCAGTCTTTACTCGATATTCAAGTATTCAACAACAAATACGAGACCATAAGGAAAACATTCATACAGCCTAAAAAAAGGAACAAAAATTGCTCATGTTTTGTAGACTAGAGCACTCTTTAGAGTTTATTATCATACTTATGTTTATATCATTGAACACGTCTACAGAACACACATACAAAACCCCACACATGAATATTTTGCACCTTCCTTCACCGAGGTGAAGGGTATTTTTTTGCACCTATCGCCTTAAAGGCGAGAAGGGTTCTAGTGCCAATAGTGTTCTATATTTCAACTATTCTGGACTTCAGGCACTAAGAAAATATTCACATCGCATTCAACATGGAATATTTCAAATAGTCCATTCTTTCTCACACTACCAATGCATCAATAATCACAAACAATATAAAACTAAAAAAAAAAAGGCAACATTTTCATATCAATTGCTTTATTTTGCTTTCATCAAACTGCCATAGAATACTACTTATAACCAGATTATTTCAACTATAATTCGATAACCAATGACTAATCCTTAGTTAACTTGAGAGAACTTCCAAGTTAAATAATCCTTGGATGACCATGAAATATTTCTTTCCTCCTTGAAGCCATACTATGGATTCAATGCTTAGTTTATCACTCTCTAGTGAAACGCTAGGACTCGTTCAACTTTAGTTGAATGTCATTAAGTAATAGGTGGACCAGATTAAATATATTAAAAACAATAACTGGATTTTGTTCCATTCAACAAAAAAGGAGAATATAGTGCTGAGAAAATGAAAATGTTAATTACTAAATGTTTACCCGCAGCCGAGAATCAGTAACATCCACATGATAGTCCAGGTCGTCCTGCATGGAGGAAGCACAGGATAATGTATAGTCATGGATGATGAATCAAACCTCACGAAGCATTTTTTTTAAAGAAATAAAAACCAAAGAGGATAGCAGAAATAAACAGAAAACATACAATAAGTCGGGTTTGCAGATCAAGTTCTTCATTGACAGCCAATGCAATATGCTTCGTGCTTACTACAGTTTCCTCCAACTTCTCAAGATCCTCATCTTGCTCTGTTCAAAAAATGACAACCTCATAAGTTGAGGGAACTCGAGCCATTTTACAAGCTAGCACTAAAATAACTTGCCTTTCATTATTTGTCGTTGAAGACCAACAACGCCAGAATTATCCAAACCAACTGTTCTACTCATGGCATCTGGCTTAATTTCCGGGCCCAACAAGCTGTCTCTATTAGCAAAGTTCGACATGTTGAATGCAGAAGCCATCTGATTGGCTTTTGATCTTAAATTTGCAATCATGTCCTTGCGACGATTCATCTCCTTCTCTGTTCTGTAACCAAAACACGAAACATCAAGTGCTGAAAGCCAGTTTGCTCATGATAAAACACAATTTACAAAGCAAGCAGACACAGAACTACCATATTTATAAATACCACATATGATCAAAATTACTAAGTGAACATCACTTTACTCCTATATGCACCTCGATTAAGGTGACTTACAGGGGCTTCCCAGCCGGCCTAGACAAAAGGGATTGCAATCCATCAAGTCTAGTCCCTAAAATCGTAATCTTCCTTCTTATAGCCGATGCATGGCGTTGAGTCTCCGGTCCCGATGCAGGAAAGGACCTCCTTTCAGATATCATGGCATTGATATCATCCGCAATTTTGACTGCTTCATTGCATTCTTTAACCCATGGGTCCGAAGAAGATACCATTGACCTTAGACAAACAACAATCAAGTCAGAATCTAATCTATCTGGCCAAAAAGATACATAAAATCTACAAACTTGAACTCATCGTCCAGATTATGAAAGAAGAACATATAAGGGCTCATTGAACTAGCAAAATTAACCCAATTTATAATTCTGAGAAAAATCCTTTCCTCTTTATGTCCTTCTGAATTTGATGGCTTCTTTTAGAGAAATAAACCACTAATCACAAGAAACCAATAATGCTTTCTTTTTATAACCGGATATGAGCTTATATTGAAAAAAAAAAAGGAATCAAATTCATGAAATAAAATCCAAAATTCATTAGTCCAATTAACCCCAAATGCAAAAAGAAAATAAAGTTGGGAAATCTAATTGAAAACCCATCAACACAATCCCAGATTCCTTTCAAAAATGGAATTAAAAAAAATACCCATATCACAAAATGCAAAATTCAATTAAAAAAAAAACGAAATCATAAACAACTTACAGAGATGAAAAGTGAGCAATGAATGAGCCAAGTCGATCAAATCCCCCAAAAGAACAAGCGTAAACCCAGAATGGGGATATTTCTTAGCTTTTGAAGATCCGTAGAAAGTGATCAATTGATTAAGAGCACTTAAAAGAAGAGAGGTGAAATGAAACACGCCGAATTTGATCGAATTTTTGGATCGTTGGATTATGGGATTTGGAAACGGCGCCGTAGAGGATGGGTTCAGCATTTTCTACTTGCTTTATTTAAAAGAAATTAAATTAATCTTACACAAAAAAATTAAAAACAAAGGGTAAAAAGGTAACTTTTTGTCTTTTAGTAGACTTAATTTATAACTTTCACATCTATCGTATTTTCGTATCAATTTAATCATCGAAATTGTTCAATTGCATCATTCTATATCATTTTGTACCTTACCTCTAACATGAAATTTTAAGTTAGGGTTTAGAGGTTATGAGATTATATTTTAGGGTTTATGAGTTATAATTTAGGGGTAGAATATAGAATGACGCAATCAAATAACTTTGAGGGTTAAATTGATACGAAAATGATAAATTGAATCTACTATAATGACAAAAATAACTCCTAAACTTAAAAATATTATATTATTATAGGATATGACGTGGCAAGTTAATATAAAAATTTGGTCAATCTCTTCCACTAACGATATAAATAATGAATTGGAAACGAATAAATTCAAACTACTCTATTGAACCGAAAAAAGTCATTCTAAATTATTATTAAATTTATGATATAATTTATTGAAACAATTTTAAAAACAATTTATATTTCTATTTATTTATTTATTTATTTATTATTAAATCAATAATTTTATCTAGAGATGATCAAAATACACTATCTTGATACTTTTGAATCTGAATTTATAAATGGCTAGAGAGAAAATTACCTTGACAACCTGGCGACACAAATATATCCTTAGCACAGAAACAGTCTCTCAAAGCATGAAGAACGGTAGATCTAAGTTATCCTTTGCTCTGGTTAGAGATGCTTTGTTTGCACTTGGTGTGGACGGCTTTGCAAGATTTATACTTCTTCTTTGGAACGTTTGGAACGGTCGTAATGCTAAGGTTCATGAAGGTAAGATCTAACCTGTCTGGCTTCTTGCTGCTAATGTTAAGTTGCTACACAAGGAGTATCTCTTGGACAGGAGTAACGCGGTAGGAAGTAAGTCGCGACCTCCCCATCTACCTGTGGTGATGCCCCCCTCGGCCAAGTTTGGAGCTGCTGGTAATAGGCTGACTCCTCGTCATCATCCGGGAACTTCTGTGCGCATCGAGGAGGAACACTGGACTCCCCCGCACCTAGTTATGTCAAGATTAATGTCGATGGTGCCTCTGATCTCAAACGACATTTGGCAGCTGTGGGTTTAATTGCTCGCAATTCGGCGGGGATTTTGTTGGGTGGCATGGCTCTTTCTTCATCGTCCTGCGTGGAAGTCGGTCTCGCTGAGATACATGCACTTGTTGCTGGTTTAACGTTTGCTCGTGAGAATCAATGGTAAATAAATTGAAAATACAAATTTATCTCTATACCTTCTTACCATATCAAATATAAATTGAAAAAAAAAACCATAATCTTCAAATGACAAATCTTCAACTTTTTTAATGAAAATATGAAAATAAATGACTATTTAAAAGTTAATTATGAGTATGATTAGCTATATGAAAAAAAGAGTAAGGTGAATAACTTTTACCATGTAATAAGAAAAAGTCTAAGTAACAATCTAGGTCTATTTTCTCATAGCATTTTTTTTAAAGAAACAATAATTCATCAGTAGCATATTCATTTGCACATTCAACTTCAATCGCAAGCATATGTCAAACCCCAATAATTCCATCCTCAAATCTCAACAAAACTAGCAAGATGAACAAAACAAAATCATAAAAGGTAATGAAGAACTGGCAGATTAATCAGAGCGCAACATAAACTGATCGAAATAGGCTGCATTTATAAAGTTCAAGATCATCGAACTTCGAACACGAATACGTTGTCAAACATGATACAAGCCACTAGTCAACACATTCAAACTATCACAATCTTAAATGTTCTGGAAAGGTAAATAAATATATGGCAAAAAAGGAGATTCTGTTGTGTAAGACGAAAGCTCGCATAACAAAAATTTTAGGCAGCACCCTTCCCCTTCTTCCTCTGAATCTTCTTCGAGTAGAATTCCAGCTCTTTGCCTTCCAAGATATACCTGCCAAACCCATATCACATTATATCAGAACAATAATGACTATAGTTACAATGACTGGAAAAAAACTAGTTGCCCTTGAATGATTTATTTTCTTGAAAACACGACAATGGCATACCCATCACAGCGGCCACACTGGCCAGGCCTTGAAGAGATACAAGCCAATAAACGACCACTTGCAAATTGATCCTCAATATGTGGGTTGAGCTTGCGATCCTGCAGACGTTTCTCCAGCTTCCTCACAACATGGTTGCTCTTCTTCACCTCCTCAGTGCTGGTTTCACCTTCCTATAAACAGCAATACCATCATATGAACCAGACACATACAGACTGATATACTTATGCTACAATGAAAGAAATCAATGTTGATTCAACAATTATTTTCCTTTGATGCATCAGAGTCCGATACATATCCAGCTGACACAAGTATAGAGGTCTAAACCAATAAACATCAAACACAAACTTGTATCCAGCACTAACAACCCATTCCAAGTATTATTTACATTTATATACACGAGTCACAAGTAGAACCACAGTGAAAAGCCAAATAGTATATTGCAGGAAAATGAGAAAGAAACTAAAATCCGCTGCTTACTAACAAACTACACCACTAACACAGACGACATCAAGGGTTAATTTCCATACAACACTTGCACAAACCAAATAGTTACCACTACAACAATTAACTCATTTCACAGGTGCTGATAAATTGTAGTATCCATGTGACCAGAACGTTAAAGAATAATCACCGTACCTCTCCTTCCTTCTTGGCTGCCGTTGTTTTCTTCTTGCGACCGATGTCAACACCATAGTGCTGGAGATACCATTGCTTGAACGGAGCAGCATCAACTTGAACAATGGCACTCTTCACCAGAGTTTGGGTACGAACCAACTCGTTGTTAGATGCATTGTACACCACATCCAAAACTCTGGTCTTTCGAGTCACGCATTCGCTTCCCCATGAGTAGTTTCCAGTGTCGAGCCTCAGTGCACGCCATTTCACATTCCCACCACGAACCCTGATCCTCCTGACAGTCTTGTTGCTTGACAGCTTAGTGTTTGCTGGTTGCCTTCCGAGCTCATACCTTCAAAAATAAACCAACAAAAGTTGAGAAAAAAAATACACTAATAGAAAATGCCAAATGGGACAACCCAATAAGGAAATTGGAAACGATCTCTGGCAAAAACTGGTACATTTGATCAAGTAAACTAGAACGACGCAAACATATTCTGTTAAACCATCCTAAACCAAATTTCTAAGCCAAAAGAGCAAAACAGAAAACCAAAGGAAATAAATGGTTTGCAGTTTGCACATTACTTTCTCTTCTTCCTCCAAGCCTTCTTTTTACCACCAGTGGCACGTCTCTTGTGCATAGAATCACGAGATATACCTATAAAGAAAAAAGAAATTAAACGCAATAACGAATAAAATTAAGCACAAAATTACATAATTAGAAGATATAAATGAAGAATTAGAGGAATCTGAGAAATACCCATTTTGGCTGAGGCAAAAGTTCAAGCCTGCTTTGGTTTTTTTTTTTTGTGTTGAAGCCAATCCCACAAGAGAGTGAAGCTAGGGTTTGAGAGGCAGCACAGCAGCCATTAGGAGAGATTGAAGCTTTTTTATATCGTAAAACCCTAGCTATTTGAAATTACAGTGATACCCTCGTTGCATTAGATTTGTTGTAGGGTAGAGTAGTCAATGAGTACGTTCTCTCTTTAAGGCCCAATAAAAATATTTGGGCTCTTGATTTAGGCCTAGCATACCTATTTTAAGGACCAATAAGTGTGTGAATTATATTTAAAATTGATTTTTATGTTTAAATAATTTTTTTTATTAAAAATAGGTGTCTAATGTTTCCAATGTTATACCTTTAGGTGTCTAGACTGTAATCTCCGTTTAATTTGGTCATTATCTGACATGTGTCAGACATCTAAAATTATAAAAAAAATTATTTTAAAATACTTAATATTATTTTAAAAAACCCAAAAAATTTATTTCCTCCACCACTAATCGACAACCGTCGGTCCATAGCCTTCACTATTAACACCATCATAACCATCTCGTCGCCACAACCGAAACTCATTCCTCCATTTACCGTGAAACTGCACCAGTTGTAGTGAAAATTGTCGTGAAGGATGGTCACAATTTTCGGGTTTTCTTTGTTATTTTCTGGTGATTCTGACGACTTCAATTGTTCGTATGTTACACAACTGCCACTATTGAGTTTCTCACCTGCTCACATATGATTTTCTTCTTTCACTGAAGTTCGAATAAATTTAAAAAGATTTACATATAGTTTAACAAATTTTATGTTTGATGAACTTCAAGTTTCAGTTGCCAACTAAATGTTCTAAAATAAATATTAATGGTGTCAATAATTAAATTTAAAATAAACTAAATCAAAATTTTAAATTCTTAAAAAATGTAAATGCTTAACACTCAGTAACACATTTAACCATCGCACCTATGACATTCTTAGTGCTCGAATCCAATACCTCAATGAATAACAACAATTTAATTTCCATTAAGGTCATTCAATTCAATTTAAATCTTAGATTCTTAATTGCATACAAATAGTTATACAAACCCTCTTAGTAGACTCAAGTTCGAACAATATTATTTGCATATTTTTGTGAGTTTATCTAATCAAATAGTAAAGACTAATGTTTTGGATAGAGAAAAAAAATATCAAGTTCGAGAATTTAAATACCTACTTTCATCTTAAAAAAAGATAAATTACAAATTTGATAATTGAACTTTATTATTTCTTTTCTTTTATTTCACTTAATTTACTTTAAAATTTTTCAATTTTCTCACTTAATACATGAATTTTTTTAGTCACTCGGCCTTTTTCTCACTAACGATGTTATAAATTGACTTTTATATAAATACAAAACGACGTAGTTTTAGTGAATTTATTTTAAACGATGTCGTTTTAACACCTTTAACTATTTAACAGCGGAGTGAAAAAAAATCTAATATATTGAGTTCAGTGAGAAAATTGAGAACTTTTAAAATTCAAGGAGCAAAATAAGAGAGAGGATAAAGTTTAATGATGAAATTTGTAAGTTACCTTAGTGGAAAATAGAATCCCACAAAACAAAGTTGATTGGTTAGTGGAAGCCTCCTAAGATCCGCATGACAAAAGGCATAAAACCAAGTCTCGTGCTCTTTCTCAAAGGGTAAAAGGACAAAATGCCATAAATTTTCACATAAAAGGCACATAGAGGACCACAAACATGGAAGTATCTCTTTTTAGTCCCCCACTCTAAAAGTAAATTTCAAATGAAAGTGATATTGAAAACCCTAGCAAGATATGTCCGGTATACTCGTGTTTAACACGAGTATCCGTCACATATCCGGACATAGATATGAAAATATGGTACTTTAAATACAAGAAAAAAATGGGACATACTCATACGGGACACGTATCGTGTCCGATACTCTCAGCTCCGGAGTCTGTGTAACATAAGAATAGCCATTGAGAACAAATATCCGAAGAAACACAACTAGAACAATAGCTGATGCAACATGGTAACAATTCTACACGATCTGAATAGAACGCGTTTCCGATCACATCGGAGCATATCTTAACCATTGGAATCACGTCTTTCATTCACAAAACAGCAAGGAGATGATTTTATCATGTTCTATACATATGACACAAAATGAACAAGAAAAGAGAGACGTCGAATGCGTTCACGGAGAGCTTATCCGCAAAAAGGTTACAGAAAGAGAGATGTGCCTAGTAAAAAAAAAAAAGAATCAAAATACGTTGTAAATTATTTGATTAGGTTTTTTTATGGATATCCCTCTAATGTTTCACACTAATAACTTGAACAGAAACTCCTTACAATCTGAGAGAAAAATGATTCCGGATAATACAAAGAAACCGCAAGGACAAGAAGTAAGAGCAACCCCGCTAGGCATTCCGGCAGCTGAAAAGGATATATAAGGGGAAATCGGAAAAATTATATTCATTACCTATGTTTGATGTGCCACTACCGGTACAGTTTTCTCGGAGATGCATGGTATATTAATCGGAACCAATCTTCCGGAGTATATATCCCACAATCTGATTGTACACCTCACTCAAATGCCAAGAAAGGAACCTAAAATGTTCGCTACTAAAACAAAATAGAAGAAAAAAATCAAATCGAATTGGATCTCAAACCTTACAGAAAATCGCTTGTAAACTGCTCGCTCCAAACGTATTATCAAATCAATAAACCTCGTTAGTGCTATACGATCAATTTCCTTGTAAGCTGACATAGTAATGAAGCCTGTTTTTGAAAATTCATTCACTCTACATAATAACTTCTGATACCCGAATAACAGATCTCCTAGGCAGCAATTCCTGCATATGGATCAAACAAATAGGAGAATTAACAAAAACGCAGCAACTAGCATTCCCCTCTCAAGGTTCAAATTTCGGCATATACAAAATGCTCGTATTACTGAAGTTCTAGTCCACAGATAAAGTTCCCGACTGATCTCTTCCGTGTTATTTACGACATCAGGGAAGTCGGATAAAGAACGTGACACTGATGGATTCTGCTACGGTACCACAAGCAGAGTACGTTTAGTCGGCTTTACTTAGGGGATGTGAAACCAGACATGAAAAACAACTATAAATAATCTTCAGACTCCTTTTGAATCAAATAGGCAAAACAAGTAGGATCTCCATCTTGAAAATAAAACAATTTTGTAAAAGAAAAGAGTAGGATCTCCATTTAAAATTCCGAACGCTACGAAGTTGAAACAAATTTATTCCAACTTATACTAATGGCTTTATCCTTATTCTCTTTGACTCACTCCGCTAATCAGATGCCAGAAATAAGTTTTAAGTATGGGTTCCAAACATCAATAAACTATGACTGCAATTACGCAATTAAACTTTCAAGACATGAGTAGTTATTTCCATCGAGTTGAATCTTAGAGTAGGCGTAACTTAAATTCATAAGCGATTTCTAAAGCGCCCACTTCAAGGAACTAAATAGAATATTACCTCTATTGGTCTGTCTACTAGCAACACTGTAACTTCCAACATAGTCCTCGGATGTTCTAGCAGCAACTTCTGAGGATATATCGCCAAGCCCATACTTGAATGAGTCAGAACCATCCAAGTCAGGAGTTGCAGACCGCCAAGTTGGGTCACCATAAACCGAACCACCACGGTAAAGATCCCCATAGGACCCCTCGAAATTACCAGTTGATCCAGCAAATGATGATGTTGGAGCTGCAACTGTTCCACTGTTTCTTCCGTATCCTGCCCTTGCCAAACCAATGTTATCATCGGTACTCACATAACCAGAATTCCCACTGGTGTAACCGGAAGCATTACCTCCACTTTGCATAGGCAGAGAAGGGCTCCAATTAGCCCCACTGTTTCCCAAAGCACCGAAATTCCCACTTGCAGTCCCCAAGTAACCCCCAGGGCCGGAAACATTTGTGGCATTGCCGAGGTCTCCATTTCCCCCGACACTACGAGTAGAAGAGCTCAAACTAGGATAATTTCTTCCACTCCCAACACCATAGCCAATAGGAGTGCTATACCTGTTTGGATTCCCAATATAATAGGGGCTAATTATCCGCCCATACCCCAGACTGTTGGCAAAGTTGGAACTCCCACCATAGCTCGGGTTCATTGCTTGCTCTATATTCATACCAATTCCATATCCGGTGGTGTTAAACGGACGAAACCCTGTTCGAGCACTAGTAAGAGGATTAAACCTACCATCCATCCTGACTCCAAAGCCTCCTAGAGGGCTTAGATTATATCCCTGAGGATAATCATTGAGGATGTTGGCAGCCCGACTCAAACCATAATTATATCCTAAAACAGGGCTACGGCTGGGGCCTGGAGATAGTTCTTTGGGACTGCCCTCTTGACCTCAACCAGTTTACCACTGAGTTCGTGAAATGTTTTGTGAAGGACTCTGCCTACTGCTTCCTCTGAATCATAAGTGATGAAACCAAATCCTCTCGGCCTTAGTGTGATATGATCATACATCACTACAACATCAGTAATTGTACCAAACCGATCAAAGTAGTTCTTAAAGTCACTCTCAGTGACTGTAGACGGTAAACCTCCCACGAAAATCTTTTTTGTGCGACCAGGAGCGGGAGATCCAGTGATGCCACCAATGTTCCTGTTTAAATTGTTTTGGTCATCTCTAGGGATAGCCTTCTTTGCCTCAACCTGAAAATCGATGAGCCAGCAAGTTTAATTAAACAATTTCATGACATTTTCTGTCCCTCCCTCCCTATAAATTGGATAGAAACAGTGATCTCACCGTACGACCGTCGATCATATGCTTATCCATAATTACCCTCTCGGCAACAGCAGGATCAGCAAAGATAACGAAACCGAAGCCACGGGCACGACCGGTGACACGATCTCTCATTATCATTGCCTCCACCACTTCTCCATACTTCCTGAAATACTCCTTCAGACGTTCCTCATCAGTATCCCAAGATATCCCACCAATGAAGAGTTTACCAAGATCTGAATCCATCTTATCTGCAATCATCAATCACCATTTTCCAAATCTAAAAATCTAAACTTTTCTTTGGCACAATTGGATTCAAAGATTAAATTTTCAAATTAAACCAGAACTCTAACAACAACAATTCAGTAAATGAAATTCTTGGACAAGTTTAAAACAAGCAGCACATGAATTATCAAATCAGCAGCTAAAAATGTCCATCAACTGATCAAAATGTGAACAAAGCAACAATCAAACAGGATTATTAAAAGAAACAACACACCTTTTGGTATGAATTATAGACAGAATCCGATCAAAGACACACTGGGTAGTTGTCAAATCAAAGGATCATCTGGAAAAAAAATCATGCACCAATCAGAGAACAATCCAGAGTTCCTGAAGATAAAAACAACGAAAATTGAGACCCAATTATGTGGATCAAGGCAAAGTAAAAGTGTGTAGAAAAAGATCAGGAAACAGATAAGAAAAGATGAAAAAATTTACCATAATGGACATAACCCAAATCAGAAAATGGGGAGGAAATCAAGATCTGAGATGATGAATGATGACAAAGGAGACATACTTCAGCTCTTTCTATTCTTCTCCCGTCTCTTTTCTATATTTAATGATATCAAAATAAAGTAATTGAGGAGAAAGCTAGACAGAGAAGTTAAGAGAATAATATATATATGTTGGGGAGAGAGAGAGATTGGAGGATGCAAATGCACTAAGAATATCTGGTGTTGCCTCGTAAATGGCAGGAGAAACTGATGTAATTGAATCAGGGTAATTTCTGGAATAATATTTATTTAGTTTATTTTTTTGAGAAATTTTTATTTAGTAAAATTATATTAAAGAAAAAAAATTTGGAAAAAAAATAATTTATACTAAATTGTCTGTTTTGATGGGATTACAAATAGAATTTTGATAATAACATCACATCTTTAAAATTATTTATTTACAAATTAAGATATATTCGCTTAATGAAATTTTCGAATACATAATCTCATCAACTAATATATGCTCTTATAAATCATCACTTATTTGATTATCGACAGACTCAAAAAATTTGTCAAAAATCAAATTTATGAGTTGGTAGTTGCTTTTAGTTATTCTATCAGCTTACAAATATTAATTATGATCATAGGTCTTATCCTAACACGCATAAAGGATCAACATATAAACGTATGTGCTAGGCATGAGAGAAGGCCCTCCATCTTTTGGATCGTGTTCACTTACTCTTTCTCCTTACTATTCTTCATCTCTTCATTTATTATATTCGTCACCGATCAGTCATTGTTTAATCACCCACTACAGTTATCCACTCAAATTAGGAGAATGAATCGTCTACTACCGTCACAATTTCTTTGTTTCTATCAACCTATTTGAGCAAACTCAATGTGAATGACCATGGTACAATGACATTTTCTTCAATCGCTCTACCTGCGGTCGAGTACACTTTCTTCAATCGTTATACTTGCGGCAAACTCGACCGACCATCACGATTATGCTGTCGGAGTTTCAGAAGGGTTGTCGTTCAAAACACGAACACAAGCTGATTCTGTAACCGGATTCATAAGCTCAAATTCTTCTACATAAAGAATGCCATGACTGCATGAATCATGCTCCCCGGTTGACTCCGTTGGTCGTCATGCAGATGCTGAGGACGAATACATACATACATATATATATATATATGCGCGCGCGCGCATGTGTGTCAAATCAGGTACTAATTTTTACCTTAACATCAAGTCAGGTTAAGTCAGGTTTCAAATCGAATGAAACTTGGCTTTCCCTAAATTCAAGTCATTTGACAGATAGAGGAATGTTATATTCAATTCGAGTTCAAATGGGTAAAATACCAAGCCCGACGTGTGACCAACCCTATCCATATCTAACTGAATTATTAAAATATCAATTGTACAAAAATTATAGATTGTAAACCTGCTTTAATTTCATGTTAATATAAGTAAATCCCTAAATCAGGAGCTGATTTATCAATCACTCAGCTATCATAGGCTAAAAGATTATTCATGTGGCAAAAGTAACTGAATATTGCAACAAAAAGGAACCCTAAACATCAGCTGTTCTCAGAATTTTGATTCCATCAAACCATCTAAAGATGTTGGAAGCTTGCCTACATGTAAGCCAAACGAACTTACAAGTTATTCTGTCAGATATTTAAACAATGCAGTGAAAGATGCAATTCATCAATGTATAATTTATCAGCAAAAAGTTTTTTTTTTTCCTTTTACTGCCAAAAATTGAAGCTTGAAAACTTGATCATATTCTTCGATTCCATCAACTATACATGAATCTGCCCTCATCGCCACCAGAAGCGACCTTGTTGTTGCCTTTGTTCTTGCTTTCGCCTGTGTTACCATTGTTCCAAATCAAAAGGCGTTCGTCGAACAAGATTTCACCAATGTTATCGAGTATGAAATAGAAAAACTGAGACAGGTTTTGAGAAATATGCATAGGTAAGAAAGAAGTAACCTCCGGTACTCTTTAGAACGTTCGAGAAACTCTTTGGCAATATCTTTTCTTTCGTAAGATTGTAATACTTGTCTGATATCAGGTGGACTATTGCGGGCTACATCTGTTGAAAAACCAAAACAGATAATACTAATCAAGAGAGGCTGTTTAGATCGATCAACATTAACCACATTGGTTAGCACACATGCCATGTTATAGATTTGAACAACGGCATCAAGCAAGGGGAAAAGAAACTGCATTAAACTTACATTCCAGAAATGGAATAAGATCCAAAAGTGCTGTATCCTCGCCCTCGAGTTTGAATGGCTTAATAGGGACACAATTTTCAGGTTGAAGGCTAGACTCGAACGCATGAGCACTCACATATAAGATCTTGGCTGGATCCCGGTTAAGCTTTGAAAAATCCTGCCAACACCAATCGTTTCTTAAAAAAATACTCGAGCTCTTAAAGACACTCTCTCATAGATTAATACACTTCATATAGCATAAACTGAAAGGAAAAACAATGCAAACAAGTAATCAACTATAACATACTCTATAATGCTTGCCATTCTGATATTTAGTATCGCCCCTTGATAGCCTATATCGTATACAATGGTTAGGATCCAACCTTTCGCAGACAGGATCAACGTACTGGATGAGCCAAAATAATAAATAAATAAATTAAATTTCTGGTAACATCAGTTATCCGATGCTTATGTATTCATATTGTTGTCACAAAATAAGTGCTTAAATTACCATATTCATCTGGTCAGAATACACAACAATTTCGTAATACTTTGCCAGATGTTCCAAAAAGGCATCAACTCCAGGTCTTTTGAAGGTACGCCAGCCTCTCTCTCGCTTTTCCAACCCAAAAGGAGAAAAAAGGAAAGAAAAAAAGAGTTACAGACATTGATGTGCGCGTTAATAAAACAAAACAAAAAAAGTCTAAGGAAACCATATAAAAAAACATTTGATGTGAGCTTTAATAAAACAAAACCAAAAAATAAAATGTTTACAAGGAAAATGGAAAATAGTTTTAAGTCAGAATATTACCTTCCAATCTGTATAAAGTAATGTCTCATTCAGATCCAGGACAAGCGTAAAAACATGTTGTTCTTGAGGATGCAAATCAGGAAGAAGCTTATCTGAGGTCGGTTCAGTAAATTCCTGAAACATGAGATGCAGTATAAGAATAAAGAAAATGAGAACTTCATGCTAATATAAAGAAGAAAATACAACAGTTAGGAAGGACATAATAAAAAAACAGAGAGGAGGAGAGTACTCACCAACACATTTTCTTCCACTAACCTCCTGAGATCCAGATAAGATTCAAATGCTTTAGCTGGAACTGAAATTATACAAGCAAAGAAGCCATGAGCAAATAGGGGAGGAAGCAAAACATGTAAACAAGACAATTGCTGAACAAGTTAACAGAGAGTAATGAGCACCGAACAATGAACTTCTTTTTGCTGGCTTAATAATCTTATGATGAAATAACCCAATTATTCTAAAGAAACAATTATGTACAGTTAACTAAAAAGGCTAAAACAAAATGTAAAAATAACTCTGTTACCAAACTATTTTTCTAGTAATTAGATTAGCATAGAGAAGAAAGAGTTTAGAGAAAAGTGCAGCTATGAACTAAGAAAGTAGCAATACGAAATAAAGAAATATCCTAACCTGTCATAGCGGTAGAGTAAAGTAAGCCTCGATATTTCTGAAAAACGAGATGGAAAACAACTGATTCATTCATAGAAGCAACAAAACAATGATTATATCAAATTACTAGGACTTAGCAGAAGTGCCACATATATCCATTCATATGCACAAGGACACTAATACAAATGCTGGTGTAACTGATATTGATGTACTCACCGCATCAAAGCCACTGATCATATGGGAAATGACCTATGGGGAACAATGATGGATGGCTTTTATGTTATTATTACAAATGTGAGCAGATAAAATATTTTCCTACAGATTGAAAAGAAATTGTAGCAAGATTTTATAACTAATTAAATAGAAATGCAGAAAAAATCAATCGCAAATAAATGAGAACCAAATTATCCGTATAGCAGTTATATAAATTAAACAATTTGTACACAGCATTATTCAACTAATAAGCTAAAATGAGAAAATTCATTAAAAATAATAAAATTCCAAACAAACTCAAACATACATCAACAGCAGATGCATCTTCACTAGGAGCAAAACTTGCAGCAGCCCGCAATGCCTTTGCCTTCTGATCTACTTCCTCGTACGAAGACTCTGCAAGACGAATTAAAATTTTAAAATATAAACATTTTTAATCATATTAAAAACCCACATTTTAAACAGTAATGTAAATTAAATCACAAATGAGTGAAATGACCAAATCTTAATCAAAAGAAGAAAAAAAGACTTAACTGTAAGAGAGATAACCAGAATAGCCAGCAGTTCCTGTAATAGCCGCGATGAGTCCGTACTTGAGAAAGCTCCAAGATTTCCCTCCCGAAGCTTGTGGGGCAGCTTCCGGCGCCGGAGAAGGAGAAGGAGGATTCTGAGATTGATCGGAAAGAATGGATTGCGAAGCCATGATCGTCTCTCGTGATGGATTTGAAGAAGAATCGACTCCTGAACTTAAAAACCTTCGATTAAAGATCTTTGACCCGCATTTATTTGAAAGTATACGAGATCGAATAACAATCGAAGACATTTTTATTAGGGTTTTCGATCTGTTGCTGGTTGGGTTGGGTTGGTTTGTTTGATGAAGGTTTCGGTAAATTGTTTAGGGCTTCTCGGCTTTTACAGATCGAAGTAGCGATGAATTCGGCACGGGGATGTTAAAAATGGACGTTTGGAAGCTGGTTTTGGTCAATCTTATGTTAGAATAGTGGAATCTGGATGGGAATGGGCCTGATCTCGCCAATACTTTGTCTCGCTTACTCGTGATTAGGGATAGTCATTAGTCGGGTGAAGTCATGTTTTTGATCTATTACTATTTAATTTTGGTATAATATTTTTTAGGGTAAAGAACACAAATGGTCCCCTGACTATGGAATATTATTTTATTGAGTCTCTCGATTATTAAAAGTTACAAAATGGTCATTAGACTATGGAGTGTTGTTTTTTTGAGTTGTTCAACTATTAAAAGTTACAAAATGATCATCCGACTATTCATTATGTTCCAGACTCGTCATTTTTCGTTAAAAAATTAGAGGTTGTTTAAGCTGATGTTAACATGATGACTTATGTGAATTTGTGAAAACATGGACAATTCCAAACATTGTATAATATATTCACTTCTAAAATTTGGGTAAATTACGTTTAGTATTTAAACTATCAATTTTGATATTTTTAATACCTAAACTTTATATTTTTTCATAACCATACCTAAAGTTTAGTTTTTATTTTATTTTATTACTAATGTTCAGAATTTAACGTTAAGTTTTGAAAAAATCGAAAGTTTAGGTACTAAACTGTTAAATTTTTAACGGTGGGGTACTAAAACGAAACAAAAATTAAACTTTAGTTATGATTTTAAAAAAATAAAAATTTAAGTACTAAAATGAATCAAAACTAATAATTTAACTAAATACGTAATTGACCCTTTAAATTTTATTAACGAAAGCCGGTGATAATACTGCGATTTGTGGACCAACATGAATAATTGCAAAATTACTTTGTCAACAACGAGGACCATTTTCTGAGTTTTTGTTTTTGGAAAGGCATTATATTCTTATATTCTTATCCATTTTGGATAATTATTTCCACGTCGGAATTTATTTTTTCTAATGCTTTGAGTTTTATATTTATAATTTATCTACAAACTTTTGCAAAGAATTTGAAGAAAAATGTTGAATCTTATTTTTAAGAGTAAAAGATTGCGTATTTTATTCCCAATATTTTTTGTTTAATCTAATTTATTGATAAATTATTTCAAATTAAATATTTTAAACGTCTATTATAGTAATATTTTAAAAAAATTTAATTTTTCAAAGATTTAATATTTCATCCTATTAGATAAATTGATCGTTAATAATTTATTTACAATTTTAATATTACTTTGTGGAAGTGAAAAAAACTAAAGAGATTAAAATTTGAAATAAAATTGATGACTAAAACTCATAATTATTTAAATCAATTACGCTTGTAAAAGAAAAGTTGAAGCCTTAACAAAGCGGGTCAGATTAAAACCCCCTCCTAAGCCTACTTTACTATAGAGGAAAAAAGTGTTCTGTCTTCATTAATAAACGACACTGCGGAGGAAGAACTAGAAGTTAAATGAGCTAATACATGAGCAGCAGTGTTAGCTGTGCGACGAATAGTTCGGAAAAGGTAACAGGATGATCGTCCAGAATGCAGCGTGTTTCAACTAGGATGAATCGCAAGGAGGATAAACAGGCTGATGGTGCTGAAGCTGATGAGCAACAGTGGAAGCATTTGAAGCCCACACCGAATGGCGTGAGCCTCCACAGTACTAGCACCGCAAGCAGAAATGGTCGGGGCCGAATGGCATTTCAAGCATAAAATCTGTAAGGATCTCGAAGAATAGCTCCAACTACGAGTATCCGTCTGATATCGGACAAGCGCCATCCATGTTTAACATAACCAGCCGAAAGTTTCACCCAATGAGAAGAATGGTCGGGGCTGGGGCAGCTTGAAAACCATTGTCGACCGTGAGTGCTGCACGATCATAAGCAACCTGCATAGCTTTACAAGATCCTACTATTTGCCAACCTGATAATAAACGACCTTCATGTACAAAGACATTCCGTCGACACCAGATTTGAGAAAGTAAAAGCATAAGTTGTAAAGGTCCCGGAATCCAACAATGCCATGAGAGACTCGAACTTGAATGGCAATAGATAAAGATTAAAGAAAGGAATTCAATTGTCTGAAACATGAGTCGAATTCAAAATTGATTTGAAAAAATTAAGGAATTTAAAAGTTTTTAAAATCTAAACGGATTCATCGACGAGTCTACCTTTAGCTTAACAATAAGATTCGGTAATTTAATTGTTTTTTTTTTCTGGTAATGATCAATATGGTACTTGTGATAGCTTTTAACTCCCAGGTGCGTAGTTAGTCTATAGCTTTATCTAGTTCAGTCCTTTTCTTTTCTTGGTTCCTTTAAACTTTCTTTTGTATTTTCTTTACTAGAATAACTCATTTGCTCTCTTGCTCTTTTAAATTCTCGCAGACTGGACTATGGAAAATCCGTTCGAACTGTTACAATACCCAAGCAGAAGTTGTAAGATCATTTACTTATTTCAGAATGACTGATAGTATATTTAGGGTTGAAAATTGGAATAACTTTGTACCTTTTGTCAGAATGATGAGCACCGATTTCTAATATACTGTTTCAAACTCATCATTTTTACTAAGCTCATTAAGATATCCCTGCCCCTACTTTATATTTCTCCTGACTGGGGATGGGGCAATTGCAGAAGCTTTTGTGCCCTCGTTATATACCTAGTTAGTAAATCCTTTCCTCGTTCATGGCCAGCTTTGAAAAAAAAATAGATGTCGGAAACAAATCCGAAGATTATCAAAAGTTTTATCTAAATCTTAGGAAGCTAAAATCGTATGGAAAATGGTAGAAGTTTGGTTGTTTAGATATTCATGCCTGTGTCCCATTTGGCAACTTAGAGCTATGCTGCTTTGGTTGTTCAATATTTTTTCTGAAGTATCCTTACCAACACCTGTATCTGACATATATTTCGGACATGAGTATGGGGTTATGACCCTTCAAGGACTCATCAAGCACATGGAAAGACATAGAAAAACCGGAGATACCCGTACCGGATACATTCCCGTATCTAACACTGGCACTCGAGTTCGAGTAATATAGACTTAGAGTTTGAGCAACATACTTTCTTCTCCTGAAGATGTGAAAAAAAGGACCATGTGAAGCTCATAGATTGCATTTGTAAAGAGGTTATGTACATGGTATACAAACTTAGATCAGGTATTTTAGGAGAAAGACTCCATTGAATTGCACCTTTTAATAATGTTTTTGCTTGTTTTCTACTCTCATATTCAACATGTTTATATTTTTCGGTAAATCTGAAGATGCCAAGTGTCATATTTCTGCAGCCCAAATCTATGTTGCTACAATTCCTCATTTCTCTGCATCAAACATATATTCATACACCTGACACTCACATCCAAGTCCAGGTAACATAGGTCCAAATAGAATCGACCATTTTAGTACTAGGTATAGCTACATTTGTGGGATTGTTTTCAAATTCTATGGAGATATCCGACATTTACGCTGAATCCGATAGACATAAACCTAAATAAAATGCATGGTGTTAGTTCTAGTATAGCAAACGTTTGGGTAGAGAAACCTGCATTATCTGCAGAATCGTTTTCTAGTGCTGCGAAGATGTTCCCTTGGCCACATCTCTACTTCGTTGTACAGGCTGCTGTAGATGAATGCTTCCTTCCTCCAAAAATTTATTTGGACTTTGAATTATTTTTGAAGTATTATAAAATTCAGAAATATTTTTTATATTTATTTATTATTTCAAAATATTATTGTTAATGTCCTTAATTCGGGAATGATAAATTAAGTGGTATTTAGATAATTTCGGAAAGTGAGTAATGATTCCATGATAAATGATACTAGAACGATCTTTTAATGTGTAAAATTTATGTTTTTTTTAAAAAAATAATCATAATACTATTAATTAGAAATAGCGTCGGATACAACAATATCAGTAATACAAGGATGTTACGAATTTAAAATTTTTAAGCATAGTCAAATACGAAAGAAAAATATAATTGAAAAAAACCTATATATTTTTCCTTCTAAATTACTTATTACGAGAAAAATTTCTTCTGAAAAAAAAAAGTTTTTGTTCGTAAATTTTCTATATTTTTAAATATGAAAAATTGTACGCGTATCCATTAATTTTACAGTTACTGTTGTTCAATATGACAACGGTGAAGTGGATTATCTTATAATAATTATTTTTCCTTTGTCTAATCCATTCAAAATTTTATACCATATTCAGTTAAAATTTAAATATAATCCTAAATTTTTAACGTACATTCTTTAAATTTATAATTAATATTGCCTAAAATAAGAGAAGTGTGAATTCTCTCGTGTTACTTTTTTATTTGACCAATTCATTCATTCATATCTTCTATATGTATTGCCACGTTTATGATAAAGATAACTGTTGGCACAAGTGGTTTGGATTTAGGATTTAGGAATTTGAATTTGTAAGTCCAAGTTCGAATCACACCACTGTCAGGTAATTTGTAAAGTCCGATGTAAATCTCAATTTGATCTTAGGTATGCTCTGATCCTGAATTAGGAGAGTCACCCTTAATCTAAACTTTTGTGTACAAATTTTTTTATCAAGATAAGATGATTATAAAATATTATTTATTCTCGGACAGATATTTTTTTAAAATGTTGTTCTTAATATTATTTAATTTTTTTTTTTAAATACAATATTACTTTTTATATCCTCGAACGGTGATTTACTATTAATAATCTCAAATGCCAGCGGTTGATATTGTAATATTATCTGAACTAAATACATCTTAAAAGTATATTTTGACAAGAAAGAAATGACTTGAAATAAGTTTCAGGGCAAAGTACACAAATTATTCTTTGATTATAGGATACTATTTTATTAAGTCCCTCAACTATTAAAAGTTACAAAATAGTCTTACGACTATAAAGTGTTGCTTTTTGAGTTCATCGACTATTAAAAGTTACAAAATGGTCACCCGACTATTCATTATGTTTCAAATTCATCATTTTTCATTAAAAATTGATGGCAATCTCAGTTAAATGTTAACATATTGATTGTGATATGATAAAATTCGATCCTAGAATCTCAAACGACTATCATATCTCGATCATCATCTTAACTTCTAACTCATATGACATTTAATTTTTTAATAGAGAATGACGAGTTTATAACATAATGAATAGTCGGATGATCATTTCTTAATTTTAATAGTCGAGAGACTCAACAAAGTAACACTCTATAGTTGAAAGGGACCTAATAAAGCAGTATTCTATAGTAGGGACCATTTGTGTACTTTACCCTAAGTTTTATGATTAAAATTTGAATTAATTTCAGTATAAATTCTTAAAACTATAATCATTGTTCTTAAACTTGTAAATATTTCAATTTCATCCTCAAATTGTAACTCTCATAGTAAATTGATCCTCAAATTTATAGTCAACTAATAAATATTATCCAATCAAGAGCCATTTTGACATAAAATAAAACATTGGAGTCAATATACATATATATATTAAAAGTTTTTTTTTTCACCTCTAAAGGGGCCACAGCTGACCTGTAAATCCCGGTAAGGGGAAGGGCAGTGTTCAATGAGAGAGGTTGGTGTGACCTCCAATAGTAAGTTTCCTCACTAGAAACGCCGGTATGCCTAGTGGAGTGGAGTGTGTTGGGCACTATAAAATGCCATCATCTTTTAGGGTCGAAGTGCCCTTTGGATGGACACAAATCCGTCAACCACCAAAATATTTAATAGATAATACCCTTATTTATTTTATTTGGAGAGACTAATCCATGGAACGTGGTGGTGATGAGTTCCTTCGTTTTCACAAGCTTGCAAAATCAAGTTCCGGTATAGTACCCTCCAACTTCAAATCTTTTCTTTTTTAAAAATACTTTTATAAAAAATAATAATATGACGTTTAATAAAAAAAAAGATTGCAGCAACAAGAATGGATCAAGGGACGGATAGAGTCAGTCACCCCTGAAACGGCTTAATAAAAAAAGATTCATGATTGGATTTGTCATTATTTTCTATATGTTTTACTTTTTATATTTAAATTTAATATAATATCTTTTTTCTGATTTCATCTATATTTTGGTCTCTCTTTATATTTTTTTATTAAATTAAAATGATTATAAAATAATATATGGGTATATACATATTTTGGTAAACTAATGATGATGTCTACTGTTTTTACGAAGGAATTATGAATACGTTATGTTTGTTTATTTGATTCTTAATTATATATAATTAATTTAAAATGTCGAAGCCTGTGTATTGAGAATGAGAAAAGGGGGTTAACTTTTTTCAACATATTGGTCGGAAAATGATATATGCATTTTAATTATTTTTCAATTTTTCCAAATATATATTTCCAAAAGATATATTTATATTAATTAAATGTATAATATTAACTTTTTTTAAAATGTCGAAGCCTGTGTATTGAGAATGAGAAAAGGGGGTTGACTTTGAATATCGAACAATCTACGGTAAGAAGTGGGGCCACGTCAGGGATTGCCACGTGCAATTATTTATATTATTGCCACGTGTAATTGGGACATAGGGCCAGTTCGATTTCGAAAATGTAAATATCTTTTTTTTTTCTTTTTCTTTTTTAAAGGTTCGAGTATAACTCGACATGGGAACTCTTCTAACTTCAGCAGCAATGGCAGCAACACCAACTCCGATATCACACCACCGCCGGTGGTGTGCGAACAGGATCAATTCATGCCGATAGCCAACGTGATCCGCATCATGCGCCGCATGCTCCCACCGCATGCCAAAATCTCCGACGGTGCCAAAGATGCCATCCAAGAATGTGTCTCGGAGTTCATCAGTTTCATCACCGGTGAAGCCAACGAGCATTGCCAGCTTGAGCACCGCAAGACCATCACCGCCGATGATCTGCTTTGGGCCATGGAAAAGTTAGGTTTCGACGACTACATCGAGCCCCTCAGCGTTTTCTTGGTCCGGTACAGAGAGGCCGAGAATGGCAGGACTTCACTGCCTGGTGAACCCACCTTGAAACGTGGGATCGACCAGGGACCGATGATCATTCCTCCATTTAACAGCTCGGCTTTCCAGGCGGGATTTTGCCATGGGTTTATGGATGCCACCACCAATGACATCGCAGGTGGATACAATCGAGATGCATCGGGTACTGCTGCCGCCGCCGCCGGATCATCTTCTCAGGCTCCGACAAACAACTTCGATCCATTTAGTCTGTTCAAATGAGCTGAGATGAACTAAAACGGCAAGCAAATGAAGTTTGTTTTGTCTTACAGAACAAAAACAAATAAAGCTAGAGAAAGGATGGTAAAATAAAGTTTTTGTAAACAAATAAAGCTAGAGAAAGGATGGTAAAATAAAGTTTTTGTTTGCATTACATAGGGTGTTTTAATGGCACATTCGTGCTCGTAATCAGTTTGGGTTCATTCGAAAAACTTCGAAGTCAAACTTTGTTATCGTTTCGTTGAGTATTCCGAACTATTGAATGAATCAAATTCGAATGTCTTAATAATTGACTTTAACAGTGGTGATTAAGTTCAATCCATAGCTCACATATAGATAAGAAGCTGGAATTGTTGCAAGTGTAAAAAATATATCTTTCGATCGACAATGATCTTTTACATATAAGAATTAACGATTACTAACCCGATCAGTTAGTCGGTAATCATTTGTCATCTGATTTCAGGTAGAGATTCTGTTTTCCTATATAATCAATCACTTCATCTATGGTCAAATATTTTATAGACAATCCTCTTGAAATGCATTCCCTGGAGCAAAAATGGAGGCAACAAGGGGATCTACATGAAAACTAGACTCGAAAACGAAGTTGAGCATTATCTTTGAGTACTATAACAGCCCTAAACCCACTGCTGCTTACCTCAAACTAGTTGAACTGATTTGGTTCGGAACAAGTTCATCAATGATTTTAATGTTATCCTGAAAGAATAAAAAAAATCAAATGAGCCACAATCGATGAGACACACCATAATCCCGAAAGAAACCAGCATGCATGAGAGTTGATCAAAATCCAAATATCATCAAGGATAACGACTGGGAATAAAGATCTTGATTTGCTTTGTATGAAAAACTGGAAAGAAATGAGAAATCCACTAACCCGGTTTTCATTCAAAATCTCATCACCACTGATGATTTTTTCCAAATCTTGTCCTTCTCTACGAATGCAAACCACGCCGTAATCTTTGCATATAGCTCTAACCTGAAATTTGATCCAAAATCCGAGGTTACCTTAATATATCATATGCTAGAGTATACTCTACGTATTATATTTAGAAAGAACAATATAGCATTAATGTCCTTATCGTCCTTTAACACTGATACAATAGTAGAAAATAATAAGCATATGCCTGCTCAGGGATCCAAAAGCCGGGAATGCTGAAAGATTGAAGTAAAACAGAACCACAAACAAGCATGACTTTAAGGGATTCTGTGAAACGACAAAGATATCGTTATTGTGTCTCCGCCGTTGGAGGAACAATGAGAAAACTCACATATAAACAGTATTAACAGAATCTAATCTTTCAATTTAATAAATTATCAACACATTCTGGCAAACTGATTATAATGTGTGGCTATATCTATCGAATAATGTGCGTCGATGAATATCTGTAAAACGTATAAAGTGATAAAATAATGTAGTTAAATGTTGCCGCTTGCATACCCTTACGTATCAATCCACCCTCAGTCAAGAAGCTCTTGACTCGATTCAGGAAGGTTAGAGACCGCTGAAAAGAGCTTTGTTTTGCCTGTAAAAGAGAATGAGATTAACATAAAAAAAAAAAGCACTACTTTGCAAATGCAACAGATATTCCTCACAATTCAACTCAAGTTTTCCAAAAAATGCAAAACAAAATCCGGAGAGAGAAGTAGCACCTCCCAAGGATCGACCATGATAAAGTCGGAACTTTTGCAGGCTAGGTTACACAACTAGTTACGATGTTCAGCAGCTACAAGGCCCTGCACCATCATCAGTCAAGGATACTCAAGCAGAACTAGATAACACATGTAATTAGCTATCGCCATTATCCACTAATTTACTAACATTTTTGGATTACTGTTCGGCGTACCAGCGATCAAATTCGGGCAAACAAATTATTCACCATTTTTACAGATGCTAAAGAATAAAAAAAACCAAGTTCATAAGAAAATTTGTAGATTCTACCATTAGTGATTCATTCTTGGATATCAAATCTATGCAATAGTAATTGAATTCTATCAAATCCAGCAATCAAATTGATGGATGCTTCGAGTTTCAATATAAATATCAGAAATCAAAACTTTGATCATTTCTCCAGAAGCACATGAACCAAAATAATGAAGTTTGTAATTCTACCATCAACAATTCCGTAAAAAGAAAAAAAAAAACTAACCTTTTTCTTGTAAGCATCATTTACAGGAGACATATAGACTCCTATAACACAAAACCCATTTGAATTCAACGCATCTCGAGCCAGTTCTAACCGTTAAAATAAATTTTAAAAAAATAATCAAAACCCATAGAAAATTTGGGGGGGGGGGGAGAATAAGAAGAAAAAGAAGGGGAAAAAGCTTACCAAACATGCGTAAGTGCATCAAAGTAGGAGGATTGAAGCTTCCAGTGGCTACTAAAACTACATATATTTTGTCCTCGCTTTGATTAAATCAATATATATATATATAAACAAGAGAAATTTATATATCTATAAAATTAGAGAATTTGAACGGAAAAAAAAAAAAAAAATGGAAGAGAGTAGCTTACTTGTTCTTTGATGGTAGAGATAATTTATCAAAAGGCAATGGGATTTCCATTTCAGGAAATTGTTTTTTTTTTGTAGTAGTTTTAGTAAAATTCTGGAGGAAAAAAAAGCACAGTTCTGTAGAATTAATATAATACATATATTTAAAAATAGTTTTAAACATTATTAAAAGATGATCGGTGGAAATAAAGGGCAAATTTCATAATTGAATTGTACTTCCTCTTTTAATTTGTTTATTGAATTTTAAAATTTTTTTTAAAATTTTTACTGAAATTTAATATATTAAATTTTTATTATTATTTAATTTTATTTTTTCTCTATTTTGATCACTCTACCGTTAAATAGTTAACGGTAATAAAGATAATCCTGTTTTAGAAAAAATAAATTCACCAAAACGATGTTATTTTACATTTATATAAAAATCTATTTTAACACAATAAACTATTTAACGACTGAGTGACAAAAATATGAAAAAAAAATAAAAATATTTAAAGTATAACGAGTGAAATATGATAGATAATAAAATTCAATTACTAAATTTATAATTTAATCCGAAAATGATTCGATGCGGAGCTTCTTAACAACAAAACACAAAATGACACAACTAGAATAATTAAATTAAAATTATCAATTTTTTTATTAATATAAAATAAATATAAAATAATATTTATTCAAAGATAAATCTCACACTTTTGATATTAAACGCTAACATTCTTTAATATCTATAATTTTAAAATCCGAATCTTCATGAATAATAACAATTTTTTATTTAACAGTCGTGCATTAGAATTACCACTCAAATGGATAAAAAAAGGATTCATTTCTAATTCCTTTTGTTCTATGATTTTTCTCCATAAACAAAGACGACGACATTTTAAGCATTGTCGTCCCTTGGGTATTTCTCCAGATCCTAACTAGTCTTCACAGAATTGGGCAAAGGCAAGTTCAATCTACCATGAAAGCATTGTACTTTCATTTAGCTTTTCAACTCTCATATTTTTGCAGGAAACAATAAAAAATTACCAAAAGAAAGAAGAAAAAACAGAGAAGAAAGAAAGAAAATTACAGCATTCTGATGTAAATCCAACGGCTTTCATCGACGGGTCTTCTCAAAATCCCCATTTTTCAAATACCCATTAATCAAAACATTTTAAGGAAGAGAAGATATCTGGAAAGCAAGGACAAGGGTTGGCGGCTATGAAAGTAAGAAGATAACGACGATTGGTGGTGGAGCTTGGTTTTGAGGAAGTCGACAAGGGTTTTGGGATTAAGGGTTGATAGTTCATGTCATATTTGAGCAGATTCTACATTGCTGATCAACATATGGGACAGAAGACAGTATACGCTTGAGGGGACTTGAATTCTACTTTACAGGTACCTTACGAATACCGAGCATGTATTAGTGACCATTTCATAATAATTCAAGCAGTGATCATTTTGAAACTATAAAAACTTTAGTGACCAAAAAAACCATTTGTGTATTTTTAAAATGAAAATTATTGGTTATGAATGCTTTGGTTATCTGCCAGAGCCACAAATCAGAGAAACAAACAGGCATTTATCATTTAAGATCGTCACCAAAGCAACAAGACCTCCAAAATGAGGTTGCATACAAACTGTAAAAACAAAAGCTAAAGGGTCGTTCAGAAATGAAATAAAGCTACTGATATAAGAACGTGTCAATCTTAATCAACTTCCTCCATTTTGCTGCCTTCAGCATCGGCATCCTCCAACGGGGGCATGTCAGCATCGGCTTCACCTTCACCTTCATTATCATCGATGCTAAGACCGAGTTTGAGCATCCTGTGGATTCTGTTGCCGAAGGTGTTAGGGTCATCGAGGCTGAAGCCAGAGGTGAGGAGTGCGGTCTCAAAGAGGAGGAGAATGAGATCCTTAACGGATTTGTCATTTTTGTCTGCATCAGACCTCTTTCTCAGCTCCTCCATGATGGGGTTCTCGGGGTTGATCTCCATTGTCTTCTTGCTGGACATGTAACCAGCCATGCTGCTATCCCTCAATGCCTGCGCCTTCATGATTCTTTCCATGTTGGCAGTCCAACCGTATTCGCCAGTAACCAAACAGCATGGAGAATCAACCACACGGTCGGAAACCACAACCTTCTCAACCTTGTCGCCCAAGACATCCTTTATAACCTTGCAGAGACCCTCAAACTTCTCCTTCAATGCTTCCTTCTTTTGCTTCTCATCCTCGCTCTCGTCCAGTTTCAAACCTTCCTTAGTAGCAGACACAAGCTTCTTTCCCTCGAATTCTTTCAGCTGCCCTACCGCATACTCATCAATTGCATCGACCATATAAAGGACCTCATAACCCTTCTTCTTCAACTTCTCAAGGAAGGGAGAGTTCTCAACAGCTTTCTTACTCTCACCAGTGATGTAATAGATGTCATTCTGACCCTCCTTCATTCTGGTCACATAGTCCTTCAAGCTCGTCATCTCATCACCACTCTTGGTGGAGTGGTAGCGGAGCAATTCAGCAATCTTATTCCTGTTCTGAGAGTCCTCATGGATTCCAAGCTTGAGGTTCTTGGAGAAAGCCTCGTAGAACTTGTTGTAATCTTCCTTGTTCTCAGCTATTTCAAAGAAGAGCTCAATGCACTTCTTCACCAAGTTCTTGCGGATAACCTTCAAGATCTTGTTCTGCTGTAACATTTCTCTCGAGATGTTGAGAGGAAGGTCTTCCGAGTCAACAATACCCTTCACAAAGCTGAGGAACTCGGGAATCAACTCCTCACAGTTGTCCATGATAAAGACACGCCTGACATACAGCTTGATGTTGTTGGGTTTCTTCCTCGTGTCAAAGAGATCAAAAGGAGCTCGCTTGGGAACAAAGAGGACAGCCTTGAACTCAAGTTGTCCCTCAACCGAGAAGTGCTTGACGGCCAAATGCTCTTCCCAGTCATTTGTAAGGCTCTTGTAGAAAGCAGAATACTCTTCCTTGGTAATCTCCTCCGGCTTCCTCATCCAAATGGGCTTCTGTTTGTTCACCAAAGACCATTCGTGCGAGACCTCCTTAATCTTCTTCTTTTTCTTCTCTTCCTTATCCTTCTCCTCGTCAACATCCTCGACTTTACCTTCTTCATCCTTCTTTTCCTCCTCATCCTCATCATCAGATATCTCCTTCTCGATGGTCTTCTCAGTCCAGAGGGAAATGGGATAGCTAATGAATTCAGAGTGCTTTTTAATCAAGTCCTTCAGACGGCGCTCCTCGAGGTACTCAAGCTGGTCCTCTTTCAAGAAAAGAGTGATCTTAGTACCCCTTCCAAGATTCTCCCCAGAGGTATCTCTGGTGACAGTGAAGGAGCCGCCAGCTTGGGACTCCCACACATACTGCTCATCATTGTTGTGCTTTGTTGTAACAATAACCTTCTCAGCAACCAAGTAAGCCGAGTAGAAACCGACACCAAATTGTCCAATCATACTAACATCAGCACCAGCAGCCAATGCCTCCATGAATTCCTTCGTCCCGGACCTTGCAATGGTACCGAGATTGCTCACCAAATCTAAACAACAGTGATATAGTCACATTACAAGCCTATTTAAATCAAAACTTTACTACTAAATGCACAAGTATAAAAACTTACCAGCCTTGGTCATACCGACACCACTGTCAATAATAGACAGGGTGTTGTTAGTCTTATCTGGAACAATGTGGATGAAGAGCTCGGGCTGAGCATCGAGCATGCTCTTGTCTGTCAAGCTCTCGAATCTAATCTTGTCTAAAGCCTACAGAAAACAAATTTAAAATTAAAATAATTACTAATCAGACATTAGGGCTTATTAATTTGCAATATATTATGCATACATAAATCCAAGAAAGACCACAAATCCAATCTAAAACCTTACACTTTCATTAAGCTTCAAGAATGAGTCCCTGACTCACGTAAATTCTCTGCCTATAAAACCAATCGCTTTCATTCGAACTTACTCGAGTACATCAAATCCTAGTACTAAGAATCTTTCACCAAGTATCTAAAGCAATATATAAATCAAACTGAACAACCCATGAACATAGCAATAATTATTAAAAATCACATCATCTTTTATATAAACCCTAAAAATTCCATCTAGAAAATAATCAAACAAACCCCATGAACATCAAATCATGAAATTCCAGATCCACTAACTAATGTATCCAAAAGAAATGGTAAAAACCTCAGAATTATCGATTTTCAAAAGTGAAACAAGAAAAGAAAAACAAAGAGAAAGTGGACTTACGTCGGAGGAGTTGCTAATGAGCTCACGAAGAAAGATCTCTTTGTTACTATAGAAGGTGTTAATAATCAAGCTGAGAAGCTGGTTGATCTCAGCTTGAAAAGCAAACGTCTCTGCATCCGCCATTGATGGATGAACTCTAAGCTCCCGATCCCAAAAATAAAAGACGATTTGGAAAGCTAAGAGTTCGTGATTCGAATAGTGAGAAGAACAGAGTGAGGCACTGCTTTAGACCTGCAAGTTAAGGAGACTATATACTGGAGACACATTAGGGTTTCAAGATTCTTCTATAAACAAGCTTTTTCTCTTTACCAAATAATAGGATGTGGGCATGGATATGGCCTTTTTCTTTTTTATACAAAAACTAGTCATTTCAAAATGGCTTAATATAAAAATAGGTGTCCAATTTATATTAAAAATCTCAAATAGGTGACTAAACAATTGTAACGATAATCACCTGGATGTGTCAAAAAACAGTTTAGACACTTATTTTAATATTAAGCCTCTCAAATTTAGTCATGGTTTATTCATTTATAAATAAATAAATTATGCTTTTAATTATTAATTAAAGTTAACTTTATTAAATAAAAATAATTTCATTAATATATTTTTTTAAAATTATTATAGTGTACACATTATTTACTAAAAGAATAAAATAATATCTTATTTATAGTAACTAAGAAAATAAAATTCTAAGTTTAATATTCATTTTTAGTTTGAAGGAGAATAAGTGAGAAATTTGAAGATTTGATTTGGTTAATAATGTCGTAAAAATAAAAGAATTTGTTTAATTTTGTAGGGATTAAATTAAAAATTATATGAAAATGTGGAGGATAATTTTGTGTAATTATGGATACTATTTATAAATATTAAGACTTTTTTTATTTTATTAATCTAAGGTAATTATAGGGTAGTATATGTTCAAACTTTTCTTAATTAATTGACGATGAACGTACATACATTGCAGACGAAGTTACTCAAACTCGAGACCATTAGAGAAAATAACATTTATTTTTACTATTAAAATCGCTTAATGAATTTAAAAATATTAAAAGTTAAATATATTATTATACTAATTATTAAATAATCACACTACTATAGCCGTTAGTGCTCGAACCCTTAACCTGATTCGTGCTATTCGTTAGTATTATACATGATCTTATGAATAGTTGAGTGAATTTGAGTGCAATTTACTCATATAATTAATACAATGTAATATTTTCAAATTGAACCCATTAAGCGATTTTTACCGTAAAAAATATTATTCTCCTTATAGATTATATTATCAATTAGCAACGAGTGCAAAATGTGTATATTTTAATTGTCAATTAATTAAAAATAAATAAATATTATATTATAATCATCTCATATTAATAAAAATAAAAATTATAATTTAAAATTTTAAGAGTGGACTGAATATTCAAATATATACGATAATCAAATATAGTTATAATCTATGTTGTGTATTAAATTATTTATTTTTTATATTATAAACAAATTAGACATGATTTAAATTATAAATTTGAATATCTATTTTTTATAATTATTGTCATTTTCTATAAGTTATATCATTTTTTTATTTTGTTTAGTAGGCGACAACATTGATTTTAATGCTGATTATCAATTGTCGTTTTTCTCTCTCTTTTTAATTTTATTTTTATGACACATTTATCTATATATTTGTGACACGTTTATATTTACTTTTGTGACACACTTTCCTCTGTTTTTAGTAGTTGATCAATATGGCATTTATTTGTTATCGTGTCGATTTTCTCTGCTTTGGACCTCAGATTGGTTTGGATACGCGTTTTGCGTTCGTGATAGTTTTCTCACGTCGCTTGACTCTGATTTGCAATTTGTCGATAATCTTTCAATAGCTTCATCCTCTTTTGTGATTCGTTTGCAGATGCAATCAAATTTGTTCGCATCTTTATTTTGTTCTAGCATTTTGGTTATGTTTTTTAACTTTTTCCTTCTTTGGTCATTGTGATCTACGTGACTAGTTTTTGCATTAATAGATATAGGAAAATATCCTAATTATAATTTAGTTTACGTTTACAGTTATGCTTGTAAATTTTTATTATAATTATGGATATTTTTTATTTAAAAAAATTTGCTATTTTCTATCAAAAATTATAAATTTAAATAGTAAAAATGAGTGACTAAAATGTAAATAAGATTAAAAGACAAATTTAATTCACTCTAATGTTTTTCGACAAAATCACGTGATGTTGTACGTTGCCACGAAATATTAAAGATCATGACTCGTTAACAAATCCAATACAATTTGTTGATTCAAACAATCTTTTCGAAGATTCATAGCATCCAATCAGATTTTCTCACTCCTGCAGATTTTCCCGGAAAAATTCAACCACTGTATTTAAATTACAATGGAAAGCGACAAGCATTACAATCTTTGCCAACTGCATCAAAGCTGCAAACATTACAAATGCATCGAATGAATTAATGATCGGACAATTGATTTTAAAATCCAATCATGAATGTTAAATCTTCACTAAAATCAAAATCCCAGGACTTTTGGCTGATTTCCATTTCCAATCCTTCTTCACAGGGGGAAAGAAGAGCATGCAGCAAATTTGTTTCCAAAAGAACAGAGTCCAAATACAAAGGGCATGAAATATATATATATATACACACACACACAAATACAAACATGCATGCATACATATATACAAACCAATAACAAATCATATCAACGCAAAGCAATGGTGCTTTCAGTTCTTTCTTCTTTGCTTTCATCACTCTTTGTTTTATCATTCATGCAGATTCCTACTTCTGCTATCAAACAGGTTAAACTTTGACAAATTCTGGGTTTATCTTTAAATTTCTTTAAATTCGGTTTTCAGTATTGTTTTCCCTTTTTGCAGTCTTATACAGTGTACCTGGGAGCACAAACTCATGGTCTAAGTCCGACGTCGGTCGATCTCGATGCCGTCACAATTCTCATTATGAATTGCTGGGTTCATTTGTGGGAAGGTGTATAGATTTTTCATGCTGATAAACAGTCTCTGAACTTTAATTTAATGCATTTTTCTCAATTGTAGTTCAATATATGTATGTTTTGTGCAGCTCTGAGATGGCTAGAGAGTAAATATTTTACTCGTATACTCGAAACATCAATGGATTTGCAGCTGTTCTTGATGAGAAAGAAGCAGCAATATATCAAGTAAGAACTAAGAAGTTCAATATCACGCATGATGCATGATGCATGATGCATGTACTTGTACTTGTACATATGTACGTAGTCTGGTTTTGTAATGTATGTATTTTTGGTTTTTTGATCAAATGCGGAACATCCAAAAGTCGTGCCGGTTTTCTTGAACAGAGGACGGAAGTTGCATACGACGCGAACGTGGGATTTCCTCCGGTTAGAGAGGGATGGAGTTATCCCTACTGATTCTCTTTTAAAAAGGTCAAGTTTTGGTGCGGATGTTATAGGAAATCTTGATACAGGCAAGTTGTATCATACATTCATGCTGTTGACATGTTTCGGTGGTAACGTGATGTTGATCGGTTTTGTTTTGTGAAGGTGTTTGGCTGGAATCGAAGAGCTTTTGTGATGAAGGAATGGAACAGATTCCATTGAAGTGGCGAGGATCGTGTCACAGTGATACTGATGACCGAGTTGTTTGCAACAGGAAGTTGATTGGGGCGAGGAATTTTAACAAAGGTTATAAGGCTTACCTTGGTGGGAAACTCAATGACACTTTCAAAACCGCACGGGACACCACCGGCCATGGTTCACACACCCTATCGACAGCCTGAGGCAACTTTGTTCCCGGAGCTAATGTATTTGGTTACAGTAATGGAACTGCGAAAGGAGGATCACCGGGTGCCGTGTGGCAGCTTATAAAATATGCTGGCCCTCTGTCGGTGGTCAAGAGTGCTTTGATACAGACATCATGGTGTTGCAATAAGCAATGGTGTTGATGTGCTTTCCGTGTCATTGGGTGGTGATCTGTCCGAATTTTTTGAAGACGGGCTCTTGATCGGAGCTTTCCATGCTGTGACGAAAGGCATTTCTGTTGTTTTGTCTGCTGGAAATTCCGGCCCAAGTCCAGGCAGTGTATTGAATATCGCTCCGTGGATGTTCACCATAGGCGCTAGCAAACTCGATCGGGAGTTCGTAAGTTACGTTGAGCTAGGAAACAAGAAGCAAATCAGTGTATTCCCTCTATAAAAGACATAAACACCATATATGTTTAACTCATTCCACCATTAAAATGTTATTGTATCCGTTGCTAGGGACAAATTTTGTCGTCTGCAACCTTGTCACGTAGGACTTCGTATCCGTTGATCAGTTGAAAAGGAGAAAGCGACCAATGCATCAGTGGAAGACCGTATGATCCGCTCACACTCTACTCCATATTTGTAGTTCTACATCATCGAATTGTTGCTCGAGAAATCTCATTCGGTTCACTTGTATGCATCATGTTTCCTTCAGAATCCTGTGTCAGCCTGGATCAATTGATCCCAAAAAGGCCTCGTGGAAGATTTTAGTTTGTCTCCGAGGAGACATCGGAAGAATGGACAAGGGAAAACAGGCTCTTCTCGCAGGTGCGGTCGGAACGATTCTCGCAAACGATGAGCTGAGCGGCAACCAACTTATAGCAGATGCACACTTTCTGCCAGCAACACACGTAAATTACACCGATGGTAGAATTGTGCTTGCAGACATCAACTCATCCAAGTAACTCTCTTACTTTCTTATCGAATTCCGTTTCCTTTTTCTCCGTAAAAGAATAGAATTCTCCCCCAGGAATCCCACAGCATACATTGCTCCGGTGGAGATGAAACAAGTGTAAAACCGGCTCGTCTATGGCTTCTTTCTCTTCTAGGGGACCTAATACGATCGAGCCATCGATCCTCAAGGTTAGTTTTCAATGACGAACAACCGAATTTTCGGTTTAGCATGTAATGTTTTCTAATTTTCTCTAGTATCCATTTCAGCCTGATGTAACTGCACCAAGAGTGAACATCATTGCTGCTTTCTCTGAATCAATCGGGCCGACCGAAGATGAATCCAACAAGCGTAGGGTACCTTTCGCTTTACAATCAGGAACTTCCATGTCATGTCCTCATGTTTCCGGCATCGTCGGCCTTCTCAAGAGCCTACACCCTGATTGGAGTGCTGTAGCTATAAAATCCGCGATCATGATCACCGGTATGTCTTCTTTCGAACCGATTAATTAGTTCCAACTCCCGACAACATGTATT